CCTCCGCACACACACGCAGCCCACCAACCCCGCCTCCCACACCGCCCACATCGCCAACTGCGCCTTCAACACGCTGTTCATGGGGGAGCTGGTCATCCCCGACTGGGACATGTTCCACAGCCAGCACGTCAAGGCCCTGCTCCACGCCACCGCCCGCGCCGTCAGCGGTGAGCCGGCGCCACCCTGCCGCTGCCAGCCACCTGCCGTCCGGCCAGCTAGGCGCTTCCACCCTGCCTCCCCGGCCCGCCAACCGTTCCCTGTGTTCCTCCGGGGACCACCCGCCGCGCCGCAGGCGGCCCCGTCTACGTGTCTGACCGCCCAGGCCGCCACGACTGCGGCCTGCTGCGCCGCCTGGTGCTGCCCGACGGCGGCGTGCTGCGCTGCCGCCTGCCGGGCCGCCCCACCGTCGACTGCCTGTTTGCCGATGTCAGCCGGGACGGTGCCACCGCGCTTAAGGTGGGTGCATGGCGTGAGTGTGGGTGTGGTGGTGCGGTGTGCACGTGTTTGTGCACCAAGGTGGGCTGGTGTGTGGGTGTGTGGTCGGCCAGCTGGGCATAGGGTGGCCTGGACCTCGCCCTGTACTTGCACACCCAGGCAGCGTCCCAGAGATCCTGCCACACCCCACCTCCCCGTCCCCTTGCTGCGCTGTATGCCCTGATCTGGCACCCCTGCCACACTCCCACTCCCACACCTCCGCACCTCTGCGCACCGCGCACCCGTCCCGGCGCAGGTGTGGAACGCCAACGCCTACACAGCCGTGGTAGCTGTGTTCAACGTCCAAGGCTCCGCCTTTGACCGCTCCCTGCGCCGCTTCCACACGCACGACGAGCAGCCGCTGGCGCTGGCCGCCGAAGTGGGCGCCGCCGACGTGCCGCCGCTGGCGGGGCAGGCTGGCGTGGAGCTGTTCGCGGCGTATGCCGACGGCAGCGGGGAGCTGGTGCTGCTGGCGCCCGGGGAGCGGCTGCGCGTGGGCGTGGCGGGCGGCGGCGGCTGCGACGTGGTCACGCTCAGCCCGGTGGCGGCGGCGGGTGGCGTCCAGGTGGCGCCCATCGGGCTGGTGGGCATGCTCAATGCTGGAGGAGCGGTGCTAAGGTGGGGCGCGTGTGGGAGTGTGTGGTGGGGAGACGGAGTGTGTAGCGGTGGGGAGACGGGGGTGGAGGGGGCAGGCCAGAGAGGGGCTGAAGGCAGTCTTGCGTCTCAGCCTGCATGCCTCCCTGCACGTTTTCGGCTGCGCCGTCGTCGACTGCTCACACCGCCACGCCGTGCCTGCCCCGCGTCCCTCGCAGCTGCACCCTGTCGGGCGGCCACTCCGACGACGGCTTTGAGGTGCAGCCGGTGCGGGCGGCGCTGCAGCTGCGCGGCGCCGGAGACGTGCTGTGCTACACGTCGCACCAGCCGATCAGCGTGAGCGTGGAGGGGCAGGAGGCGCCCTTCTCCTACGACGCAGACGAGGCCACGCTGCGCTTTGAGCTGCCTGCGGGCGCAGCCGCGAGCGCTGCCAAGCACGTGACGGTGCAGTTCTAGGCCCCGCCACCCCGCATGTATCAACTGTGTACCTGCCCCTGGGCTGCTCCCGCGGTGCAAATGCGCCGGGGGGGCAGCGCCCTCTTCAAACTCTGCTGCTGTGTCACGCAGCTTGCCTGATATTCTCCGTCTATATGCTATGCTGCACCTGATTCTTTTGCTTGATGCTTCACGCATGTATGCCTTGCCAGCCTGGAAGCAAATCATTCTGCCGTCGTGCAGCCATGCCCGGCGGCGGGAAACTAAGGGAAGCAGCGCTGGGCAAGACCTGATGCACCTTTAGGGCGGCTGCGCCACAGGGTCACACCAGCGTGGGCCGGCCGCTGTGGTGTGCGCCGTCTGCCTCGTCCCCCGGCTGCCGTGCCTCCCCCGTCAAGTGCCCAAACGTGCGCCGCCAAAACTGCTCCGCCTCCTTGTGCGTGCGGATGTCCCACAGCGGGTGCCGCTTCTCCGCCTCTGCTTGCAGCACCTGCATCCGCAGCAGGAGCGGCGGCAGGGTGAGAGGGCTGCACGCACCGCTGTGTGGGTGTGTGCTCAGCAAAGGGCGGCAGGGAGGGGGGCTCCCGTGGCAGGCGCCCCACCCCAAGGCGCCCGCACCTCGTCCTTGAATTTGGTCTTCTTCTTGAGGCAGTCTATGAACTCCGTCCACTTGGAGGAGCAGTCGTCCACTCTTCCATTGATGTAGTACTGCTGCAGCTGGTAGCCAGGTGCTGCAGCGCATCGCGGCAGCGGGCCACACGCGGTGAGGGCGGGGCAGTGGCGGGAACGGGCGGCGGCCGGGCGGGCGGCGGTGCCAAACACGCGGCGGTCGTGCCGGGCTGCCTCTACTCACAGTAGCAAAACCACAGCGCGTCAAACTTGGGGACGCAGCTGTCCTTATTCTCCTGCCCAACTTTCAGCGTGTCACTGCCGCTGGTGGACGGTGCGTCGTCGAGTGACTGCGGTTGTGTCATGCTGCTGGCAGGTGTGTCAACGCTGCTGAGCTCCTCCTCTGCCGGCATGGTGATGATGCTGCGGCAGGCGGCCCTTGCAGGGTAACGTTGCTATGTGCAGTCGGCAGGTCTTGCGGCAATGGAGTAGGGTCTAGGCAAGGGTGGTCGATAGGTCGAGCCAACTGCGCAGTCACGCCGAGCTGGCTGATTCTTCGGGCAGCCCAGGGCTGAGCCCTTGGATCGCTCGGCAGGTTCAACAACAGCCCTTCTCGATCCATACCATCGCATTTATGCATTGACCAGAGGAATTGGTGCTGTAAGGAAGTCGGTCGAGGTTCACCTCTGCTCCAGAGGTGGGCTGTCGCTTAGCCGTGTGCTGGGCTGATGAGTGACCGCTTGCAGGAAACTCGCAGAGGCAGCGCGCGATCTCTGCATCGCAGCTCCTCTGCACACGCTGCCGCCACTTCGGGCGGTCGGCGAGGCGCTACTGCTCCTTCCAACTCTCGTGTGCCTGCCGCTGCCAGGGCGATGCAGACTCTCAGTAGCCAGGACACAGGCTCTGCTACCCAAGTGGCAGTCGGCGAAAGCTGCCCTGGCGACGCATGGAGGCCGCCGCCGCCACGGCTGGCACTGTTGCCGGCAGTCGCAAGCAGCCCCCAGCGGTCCGCACCTGTGGAGGACCAGGAGGGCGCAGCTGGCATGGCAGGCACAGAACTGGGGAGCCTCGTATCGGCAGGTGATGACCCTTGCCAGCCCAGCCCTCTTGTGCTTTCACTGTGTGGCTGACACAACCTGCGCGCCACATGCCGCAGGAGATGGCGCGGCGCGGCAGCACCTGGCGGCCGTGGCGCTGCCCCGCAAGGCCGGCGCGATGGCCTGCAGCAGCAGCTCAGAATCGCTGTCCCCTTCGACTCCTGCCGCCGAGGACGCGGCTGCCGCTGCCTGCCCTCCCATTCCAGCACCAGCCAGAAGCCGATCGTGCGCCTACATCACGCTGCTCACCAGGCAAGCAACCTCCATCGACTCTCTGGCTGGCTGGTGCACCCACCATGGACCCTTCGAGACCTGCCATGTCGCGGTGCTGCCTCGCCTGCTCCGTGCAGGGACAGCTACCTGATGGGTGTGCAGGCGCTGGCGCGCAGCCTGCTGGCGGCCCAGGCACAGCACCCCCTGCTCGTCATGTACACCCCAGACAGCCTGTCGCTGGAAGCGGTGGCGGCGCTGCAGCTGGAGGCCTGCCAGCTGCTGCCAGTCGAGCGCTATGTGCCCGCCGGTGAGGTGTTGCTGGCATTGTGATGAGCCAGGCGCAGCGCCGGTCTGCAGCCCTGCCTGACGGCCCGCAAACGCTAAGCGAAGCCTGCCGGCCGGCCCCGTGTGTTGCAACACGCTGCCTTGTGTGCCCAGCGGCACTTCTGCTAGGCTGCTGCCCGGTGTGCTAATAGGACAGGCCTTCATCGGGTACAGGCTGCCCCTGGCTGGGTGTGCAGTGTGTCAGCAGAGCAAGGGCTTAGGACCACAGCAAACGGGCGTGGGCAGGCATGCAGGCAGCGCATGCAGGCAGGCAGCCCCGACCCAGATTCCCTGGCAGGGCATTGCGCTGAGTGGACGCACCTGCTGCTGCCCTTGCAGGCCACCACGATGCTGGGCAGTACAAGCTGCAGGTAGCAGCTTGCTCTGCGGTGCAACTGAGCTCCTTGCCTGGTGCCTGGGGCAGGCGTAAGCTGACCAGCTGACCAGCTGACCAGCTGACCAGAGCTGTTGCTTCCCCCCATACCAGCTTCTGTTGCTTCCCCCCTGGCTGTGCAGCTGTATGGCGAGTGCTGGAACAAGCTGCGGATATGGGAGCTGGAGGAGCAGTACGAAAGGTGCGGGCACGACTGTACTGCACACCAGCTGGCACACTCAAAATCAGGTGCTGCCCTCTGGACCCCTGCCACGTCATCCTGCTGCTTGGCCACAGATTGACCCACCATTTAGGAGTGCTGCCTGCCACGCATCTGCCCGCCACCCCGCCCCTGCAGGCTGGCCTACCTCGATGCCGACATGCTGGTGCTGAGGAACATCGATCACCTGTTTGCCCTGCCGCCGGGCTTCTATGCTGGTGAGGCGGCATCCAATCTATGGGACCCATGCAGTGCCTGGGGCAGGCAGCACCTGCACTCGCACTCGCCCAGCTGCTGCCCCGGCTCGCGCCTGCAGCTCCAGACTGCACGGCCGGGCGGCAGTCGCAGGCGGAGCGCGACGCGTGCCCGCTGTTCTCCCCAGAGCGACCACACTACTTCAACGCAGGTGGGTGGCATGCGGCCTGGTCCTGATTCTGACAGTGAGGTATGTGTGGCTGCCACACACAGCTCTGGTGCAAGTCGTGCACACAGTGTTGAACGGCAGCCGCTGCCCCGGCAGGCTTCTTCCTCGTGACGCCCTCACGTGCCGAGCTGGCACGGTTTCAGTCGCTGCTGGCGGCTGGGGCTGTGCGCATCGGAGGCTACGCGGAGCAGGACCTGCTGAACGAGGTGTACAAGGCAAGAGCGCTGCCTGGGCTCGAGAACTCACAGCAGCTGGGGAGGGGTGGCGGTGATGCAACAACGCAGCAGATGCAGCAAGTCAATGCAGCGCCCATGCGCTGCTGCCCGGAGGCTGCACGGCTCACGCCAGGAGTTCAGTGCTCCGCAGGACACTTGGAGGCCGCTGCCGCACACCTTCAACGCGCAGAAGGGCATCCGCCGCCACCACCCGCAGCTGTGGCGCCAGCACTGGCACGCCGTGGCCGTCGTTCACTACACGGATGCCAAGCCCTGGCAGGAGGGCCACTCGGATCACGCAGAGTATCAAGATTTGGTGCAGCTGTGGTGGCGGGTCTTCCACTCTGGGCGCCCAGCCCTGACCGGCGGCAGTGCGGCCCGGGGCCCGCCACCGCCAGCCCCCAGCGCCTGATGCTGCCGACGCGGCGGGGGCCTGTGACTGGCTAGCATTGCAGCTGAGCTGGCGCGTTCACATGTCCGCCCGCATGTTGACTAGAGTCTGCATGAATGACAGTGTAATGACCTGGTGCAAGAAAGGACATGACAACACAAGTGCGAGGTTCTAGATGCTGGGAGTACACTGCAGTGTGCGGCGGCCAATCTTTAGCAGATGCCAAAGGATCTAGGCGACCGCTGGCTCTGTCCGTGCTGCTGCCGGCGCCGCCGCTCCCAGGCCGCCGCCGTCCATGTCGGTCGCCGCCTGAGCGCCCAGGTCCCCACAGGCGGTGAACAACAGCAGGGCGGCTGCCGACAGGCTGCAGGCCACCGCCCCGCCCAGGAAGCAGCCGATGCCCCCCAGGCCGCGCCGCGCTGTCAGGTCGGACAGGCGGCCCGCCAGGGAGCTGGACGCCGCCAGCACCAGGCCTGCACCGGAGGCGCCAGGTAGGGTGAAGATGAGCAGCGGAGCAGCAGCAGTCAGCCCCTCTGCGGCAGCACTCAGCCCCTCTGTGCTGTGCGGCGTCCTGGCAGCGCAGTCCTAGCCGCTCAGCGCACCCAGCAGCAGGTCGGTGAGGGACCAGGCGGTACCGCTGACCCTGCCCAGGCCCGGCACCGGGCGGGAGGGGATGTAGGAGGCCAGCATGCCCAGGAACACGCCATGAGTCAGCGCCATGTGGCAACCCAGCAGCACAGCGGCCGCCAGCATGCCTACGTGGCAGCAGCGGGGGCGGGGCGCACGCGCTAGACACCTGGCCATCCTTCCGCGACTCACCCACAACAAGCTGTGGCTGCTGCTGAGCTGCGCAGCCAGCCAGACACCCACCTGCCGCCGAGGGCCAGAAGGCGAAGCAGCAGTCTGCAGCGACGAGCGCCCCCAGCCCCGCCAGCAGCACAGAGTTGCGGGCCGCCACGCCGGCCTTGGCTCGCATCCCTGCGGGCGCCGCCAGCGCCCCCTGCGTCACCATTGCCACCGGGATCAGCCACGGCAGGCTGCCACTGCCCGCCACCTGGGGGAGGAGACGCAGGGAGGCCAGGAAGAAGGCAGCCAACGTGTGAATGGCAGCAACGCATGCATCAGTGCGAGTGCTGCGGCAAGACTCGACGTGATGAGAAGCAAGCAAGAGGGGGACCTCCCGTGCCGGCCCCCAGCACTCCCGTTCAGGGCAGCTCTCTCCCAGCAGCGCACACAGCAGCGCACCATACCTCCTTGGCCCTCAGAACCGCAAAGCCGGCGTCAAAGCGCGCCATGTAGAGGAGCGCCACCGTGGCCAGCGCCTGCCAGTAGGCGGGGCGCAGCGCGCCCAGCAGCGCACGGGCCCTGCCCAGCGGGCCCAGCGCCGCCGCCTTATCGCCGCCGCCGCCAGCCTCGGCGCAGCCTGCCGGGCCTGCCACGCTGGCTGGCCCCGCCCCGCCGACATGCTGCCCTGCGCGGCTGCCGCTGCTGCTGCCAAACGCGGCCACCAGCAGCGCCAGCGCCAGCGCAGCAGGAACGGTTGAGAGCGCAAAGGTGAGCGGATAGTTGCGGCGCGTGAGCCTGAGGGCTGCGCCGGCGGCCAGCGCGCCGCCCAGCGCGCCCAGCGTGGCCAGCGACTGGCGCAGGCCAAAGGCGGCGGCGGGGCTGTCGCCGGATGCGGCGGCCAGCTCTCCGATGAGCGCCTTGGACGGCGCCTCGCGCACGCCCTTTGCGAGGCGATCAAAGATCTGCGGGCAGGCACGTGGGCGGATATTGTGACCGATCTGGAGGGCTGGAGGTGCCGGCAGAGGCAGCCAGCCACACGTGGTACCCACTACATGTGGTGGCTGGCAATGGGAGGCCAGCGGGCACCCCGACCAGGTCAGCACAGCAAACCCACAGTGTGGGGCCCGCACGCCTGCCCCGGCACCCCAACACCGCAACTGCAATCCACATCCGACGAGCTTGCCAGCCCCACCTTGGCAAAGGCTATCCAGTAGAGGCAGGAGGTGGCGCCCAGGGCCGCATGCACCGCCCCGCATGCCGCATACATTGGCTTGTTGGCCGCGGTCAGCGCCGCGCCCAGCAGCACCATGCGAGCCGGGGACGCCAGGTCGGCCAGGGCGCCGCTGACGCCGGCAGACGCCTTGGCCAGAAGCTGCGCCGCTCCCTGAAGATTGCCTATCTGCGGCGAGAGGTGGGTGAGCAGGTGTGCGCAGGTGCATGACTAGGTTGTGGTGGTAGTGTGGTGGTGATGTGGGAAGCTGGGTGGTCGTGCCGCACACCCTGCAGCAGCAGCCGCACATGACACAATGTTCACCCCCAGGGCTCACGCTGGTGCGGCTGAGGTGCAGCTCATCGGCCAGGTAGACAGGGAGGTAAGTCTCGTGGATCAGGGTGGCCACCGAACCCAACATCTGGGCTGCACAGGGGGTGGGGCCACTCCGCTGGCGATCGTGAGCAGGCGCTGCCTCCACCGGCGGCACCAGCGGCATTGTGCAGGGCAGGCGGCCCCACCGATTGCCTGGCGCAGCACCCCCGCACCTGCGCAGAGCGCCAGCAGCTTTGAGTTGGCCTGCGGGTCGCTGAAGGGAGTCAGCAGGGCCGCCAGGCTCTGCCTGTGCCGCCTCTCTGGATCCGCAGCAACCTTGCCGCCGGAAGCGGCGTCGGCGGGCACAGCGGCAGCTGCTGCTGCACGTCGGCGCCGGAGCCCGCACACCCTGCGCAGCCTTCCATGAAGCAGGTGCGGCAGGCAGGGTCGAGAGAGCAGGTGCGGGTGCGGCGCGGCTGCCTGCAGCGTAGGGTTTGCTGCAGCCAACCATCGGCGGGCGCCCAAGGCCCGAGGACCTGCTGCACAGCGTGCCAGGCTTCCCTCCATTGGCAATCTGATGCACGTCTCTCAACTCAACGCACTGATGGATGTTTCTCGATCGAAATCCACACTTCTTGGGATAATGAGAGCTGCCAAGAAGAAAGTGGGTGTGCTTGTCAAGCAAGTCAGCGCCCACCCTACATTGTTTTGCTCCAATCACACCCATGATGAAGTGCCAAGGCGTCAGAGGGACGCACCCTGCCCTGGGCACCATGCGGCTGCGGTGCTCGCCCACCAAACCAACCCTGGCTCTGCGCAGCCCAGGCAGGCCGGCCTCGCGGCGCAAGCGCTGCCAGCCTGCCTGCGTGGCGGAGCCGGCGCATCGCAGCAAGGGTCCCAGCGCCCCCAGCCACCAGGCCGAGCCAGGTGGGGTCGTCGGCGCCGCCTGCCGTCCGCCGCACGCTCCTCGGCTGCCAAACCCTGTGCCAGGCCTGCTGCACGAGTGTGTGGTGGTGTCGCTGCCTTCACTGCCGTGCTGCTCACTCCCTTGAATTGGTTTCCGCTGGGTGCAGCCAAGCTGCCCGAGCCGCACGCTGCTGCTGGACCGGTGATTAGGTCCGGGCCGCCCGTGCCCAGTCACGTGCCCGCCCCCTACCGGACGCCCATGCAATTCCCTCGGGCGTTTCCTGGAGCACTGCCGATGCTGCCGTAACCGTCTCGCTGCCGCAGGTCGCCCTACGCCTCCCCCGCCGCCGCCGCCGCCGGCAGGACGCTGTGGGACAACTGGGCCGTCGCCGTGGGGCGCTACGGCGGCCGCCCCTGCATCGGGCGCCGCGTGGGCGCCAGCTACGAGTACATGAGCTTCCAGGCAAGGGTGCCTTTGCAGTACCAGGACCATGGGCAACAGTGCTGGGCAGCTGCCCCACAGCTAGCACAGCACAGGATCAACCAGGAACGGCCATGCTTGTGATGTGCACGACGGCCTGCTGGGGTGCCAGCCACCCTGACCGGCAAGGGGGTGCCCGCCCCCCTCCCCCGTCCGAGGTGCAGGAGGCGGGGGAGATGGTGGATGCGGTGGCGGGGGCCATGGCGCATGTGGGTGTGGCCCCTCACGGGCGCGCCGCCATGTTTGGAGCCAACTCGCCTGAGCTGATGATTGCCCTCCAGGCAGGGAACCGTGGCACACAGTGTCAGCCAGCTGTGCACGCATGGGTTTGAAGAGGCTGTACATGGCTGGGAGCGTGTGATTCCAGCTTGCCTCTGTCCTGCCGTTCCCTATGCCCGCTCTCACCCTGGGCGCTGCCTGCAGGCCTGCAACCGCAGCACTGTGTACTGCGTGCCGCTGTACGATGTGCTGGGAGACCACAGCGTGGAGTACATCATCGAGCACAGCGGTACGCTACGCTGCACTGTGCTGTGTTATGCGCATGCTGTGCTATGCTGTGCTGTGCTGTGCTGTGCACATGCTGTGGTTAGGATAGGAGGAGGCTGTCCAGGAGGATAGGAGGAGGAGGTCTGTTTGCCAAGGCCACCAACATATCAAGAGGCCCCGCGCCGCTGCAGAGTCCACCATCGTGTTTGTGGCTGCCGGCAAGCTGGCGGTGCTGGCCCGGGCGCTAGGGGAGGTGGTGCTGCCGGTGCAAGTGAGGGACGTGGTGGTGTGGGGCCCGCTGGAGGGCGCAGCGTCCGCAGCCGCAGCAGAGGTGAGCAGGGGGAAGCTGCTGGCGGTCTACCCATCTGGTTTTGCCGCCAATCGTGCTGCCACGGCCGCCGTGTGTTCAGCCTGCTCCCCTGTGTGGGTGGATCCTCCTCCTGCCAGGTAACCTGGATCTGTACTGCCACCTGCAGGAGATCCGCGCCTGTGGGGTGCGGGTGCATCGCTTCCAAGAGTTTGCGGAGCTGGGCAGGGAGCACCCCTCGCCGCCAGGTCAGCCTAGCATGAGGCACCCCTCGCCCCCGCAGCCGCGATGGCCGAATGTGGCGACACGGCTGAGTCATGAGGCGCCTGCTCCCCACACACAGACGCATGCACGTCACCCCCAACTGCACACCACCTCCGTTGCCACTCCCCCGCCTGCCTGCCTGCCTGGTGCAGCACCCCCCAGCAGCGACGACATCTGCACCATCATGTACACCAGCGGTACAACGGGGGTGCCCAAGGGCGTGCTGCTCACCCACCGCACGCTGGCCACCGCCGTCGCCTCGCTGGCCCACTGGATGGGCTGCGTGGGGCTGGATATTGGCAGGGACCACGGCGACAGATACCTGTCCTTCCTTCCCCTGGCACACATCTATGGCAGGTCCGGCGGCCGTCACGTATGTGCCTGGCTGTTACCGTGGCTGTGCATGTGTGTGGCTGCGCGGCTGCGGCATGTGTGTGGCTGCGCGGCTGTGGCAACCAAGCCGATCTCGGCCACGCCTCTGCTGCAGGTGCGTGGAGGAGGCGTTTCTGAGCATGGGCGCCTGCATTGCCTACTGGAGCGGGGAGGCCAAGGGGCTGCCCGCCGACATCCGCGCCAGCCAGCCCGCCATCTTCTGCTCGGTGCCGCGCGTGTTTCAGCGCTTTGAGGCCACCACACTGGACAAGGTAGGCAGCACACTTGTGCATGGTCCCAGGCGTAGCAGTCACCCGGGTATGATACGCCGCGTGAGCAGACCTGGGGCATGGTGGCTGCCCGTATGTGCGTGTGTGTATGCGTGTGTGTGTGCGTGTGTGTGTGTGTGTGTGTGTGCGTGTGTGTGTGTGGCTGGCAGAGGGACGCTGTGCTCCCTGCATTGCCAAGGCCACGAGCTGGTGTTGTCGTGCCGTGTGTGGCTGCCTTGTGTGCTGACCTGGCGGGCGTGCCCGCTGGCCTCCCGCCCTGCCATGGCCCCGCAGATCAGCAAGGCTGGCAAGGCACAGCAAGCGCTGTTCCACACAGCATTCAACCTCAAGCTGGCCGCTCTCAAGGCGGGAGCGCCCTGGGACAAGGTAGGCGGGCAGCTGGTGGCGCGGGCCTGGGGTCCTCATGCCTTTGCTGGCGCCACCGACCATGCACTGCCCCTCTTGACGGCAGGGTACAGCCATGCCTGGGTCAGCCTGCGGCCCCTGGCGCTCGCCTGCCAACCACACTGCCCTGCCCCGATGCGCTGCCCCTCCTGCAGCTGGCGTCGGCGGTGTTTGACAGGCTTGTGTTCAGGGACATAAGCAGGGGCATGCTGGGAGACCAGATCAAGCTCATCTCCTCAGGTCGGCCGCACGCGCTACCCAGCTGCATGCGGGAACCGGCCTACACGCCCAAGGGTCAGCCAGCCAGCCAGCCAGCCAGCCAGCCAGCCAGCCAGCCAGGCAGGCGGCTGAAACCCCTACTCGAAACAGCAGCTGCCTCCGCTGACGTCCTTGCCACCCCGCGGCTGGCTGCCTGTGCAGGCGGCGCGCCGCTGGCCAGGCATGTGGAGGAGTTCATGCGGGTGTGCGGCTGCGCCAAGTTTGTGCAGGGCTATGGGCTGACGGAGACGTGCGGCGCCACCTTTGTGAGCGACCCCGACCGGCCGGTGAGACACAGAAGGAGGGGTGCACGGCAGAGGCGAGCGCGCCGGCAGCGGCCCCAGGCCGCTGCTGCCGAGCCGCTGCCTTTGCTCTGCTCGCCTGCCCCGCCCCAGCTGCCTTCGGCACGCATTGCACCCGCCCGCCAGCCCGCCGCACCTGCCTGACTGCCCTGCCCCGCCTGCTACTCAACACATACAGGACCAGCTGTACACCGTGGGCCCGCCTCAGCCCGCCTATGAGCTGCGCCTGGAGGCGGTGCCTGACATGGAGTGTGACCCTCTGGGGATTCCGCCGCGCGGGGAGGTGCTGGTGCGGGGTGAGGGCGTCTTTGTCGGGTACCACAAGGATGAGGTGAGGTCTGAGTACTGCGCCGTGTTGTGACCCGCGTCGTGCCGTTGATGGGATGTATGCTGTGCTGTGCTGCTCCTTGCTGGCATGAGCCGGAAGCTGCCGAGGCGGCAGAGCGGCACGCTGGGGCCTGGCCGCCCATGCTCGACGGTTGCCCAGTTCGTAGCGCGGATGTGCGTGGGTGTGCAGGACGAGACGCGAAAGGCGGTGGATGCAGAGGGCTGGTTCCACACGGGCGATGTGGGGGAGGTGACCCCTGGCGGCGCGCTGCGCATCATTGACCGGGTGAGCTGGGGTTGCCATGGGTGCCTGGATGGGTGGGTGGGTGGGTGGGTGGATGGATGGTAGGTGCGGCAGCGCCTTATTGGAGTGCGAGGGGTGCCGTGCCGCGCTCTTCCCTGCCTTGCCCCGCCGCGCCGTCAGCCTGGGCCGCCCTCTGCCCTGCCGCAGAAGAAGAACCTGTTCAAGCTGAGCCAGGGGGAGTACATTGCTGTGGAGAAGATAGAGGGCGTGCTGGAGGATAGCGAACTGGTGGGCCAGGTGGGCGCTGCTGCTGGCGCTGCTGCCAGGCTGCCCTGCTCCACGCAGCTGCAGCAGCCTGGCCACTCCACCAGACCACGCTGCTGACTGTGCCACACGGTGGAGGCAGCATCCAGCACTCTGCCTGCGCGCCTGCCTGCCCCCCACCCCCGCAGGTCTGGGTGCACGGCTCGCACTATGAGAGCTGCCTGGTTGCGGTGGTGGTGCCCGCGCGCCGGAGGCTGGAGGTGAGCTGTCGCCAGCTGGCGCCCATGCGCCCTCCCTGCGATTTGAGACATCCCAGCATGGCAGGCTGCCATGAAGCACGATCACAGCGGCCTGCTGGGCCGTGTGTTCTAAGCTGTGCGTGCTTGGCGCTGGCACCTTGCGTGTAGGCGTGGGCGCGGGAGCAGGGCATTGAGGGCGCCTACTGCGACCTGTGCCGGGACAGCCAGGTCAGGCGCATGCTGCAGCACGAGCTGGAGGCAGTCGGCAGGAAGGGCGGCCTCAAGGTGGGCTCGGAATGCAGGAGCCAGGGAGGGCTAAGGTCTCTGCTATGGCTTACCGTAGCAGAGACATGCTCGAATAGCCTGCCAAGCCTGCTGGCTGGCATCCAACCCTTTGCCTGTTCTCGCCCGCCCCACCGAGCCCTCTGCCCTTTCCTTCCCGAAGGCCTTTGAGCTCCCCAAGGCGATCCACGTGGAGGAGGAGCCCTTCAGCGTGGCAAACGACCTGCTGACGCCCACCTTTGAGCTGCGGCGCCAGCAGCTGCTCAAGAGGTACAGCGGCGTTGTGGATGGGCTGTACGAGAGCATGAAGAGCCGGGCGGCGGGGCCGCGCTGAGCACAGGCCGGGTTCATGATGCATGCAGCGCATGTTCCGGGCGGACAGCGAGGCTGCCAGCGCGCCCAGCATGTTGGCAAGTCCCCACTAGCGGCAGAACCATATAGTGTTGATGCACTGGCTCTCATTTCCCATTATTCTTGCGCCGGCCTGTCATCAGGCCAGCATTGCTAGCGACGGTAGAATTGCGTTGCATTGCCACATTTCACATGGATTGTTGTTGCATTAGGCACATGTTAGGAGCCAGGCTCTGCCTGTGCACACTTTCAACCTTGCAGTCTGGGGTGGAGGGTAGGGCAAAAAAACAGGATGGCAGCGCCGGTCAAGAGGGATGTTTTGGCGCCAGCACAGCGCCATCCCTCTGCCACGTTCGTCAGCACACAGCAGCAATGTTGATAACGGCAAGGAGCAAAAATTAACACAATTCTCGCAGAGAAGTCACGGGGTGGGAAAGGCATTCAAGGCAGTGTGGTGGAGGACAAGAGACGGGTGAGCCCAGGATGATGAAACGAAAGAGACGGGTGGCCCTAATGGACGATGGACGGGAACCGATGGTGACATGCGACGAACGACAACCAGCAAGAGACCAACCTAACAGCCGGGGATCCATCAACAGCCTCAACAGCCCTGCTGGCAAAAAGGTGGAGACAGCAGGCCGCCTCTGCTGCTGGAGGAGTGCAGAGGCCTACCCGCACGCACATGCCACGCGGCACTGCTGCCCACGGCACGGGCTAACCCACTGCCTCCTCAAGTCAGATGGTCGCATAGATCACATCACAGTGCAGCTGCACCCTCCAGCAGCCTTGCTCTGAGCAGCGTTTGCCTTGATCTCTCCTGCAGCAAATGCACAACAGACCAGCCAGGCATGGTGTCAGTGCAGGGGCGTTCGATGGCTGGCCAGCCAGCACGCAAAGCACAGCCAGCCAACCACGGCGAGCGTGCCGAGAATGCCCTGCGCTTGGCCCCTGCACAGCGCCCGCACCCACCTGACGCCTCAATCGCCTCCAGCATCTCAACCACCGCCCGCGCGGTGGGCCTCAGCTGCGCGCTCCCCTTCCAGCACGCATTGATGGCATCTTGTACAGACGGAGGGACCGTGGCCAGCATGGGCGGCCGGTAGCCGTCGGCCACCTGCGGGCATTGGGGGCGGCGCGGGTAGACCTTGAGTGCATGCCTGGTGCAACATAGGGCAGCGGCCAGCAAGGTGCGCATCCAGGGCCTGTGCAGCCTCGGCCCATCAAGCACGGGCCATGCATCCACCCACCCAACCACCCCGCCAGCCACAGCTGCCCAGCCTCAGCTGCCCAGCCCAACAGCCCGCCAGCCGCGGCCACAGCATTCCTCGCAGCCTGCCCGGCCACCCCGCCACCACCCTGGCGTCGCCCCGCCATCCTCCCACCTTGGCCGCATACAGCTCCAGGTGCGACTCGTCGCCGTTGAGCAGGATCTGGACGGTGGGGATGGTGCGGTTGAACAGGTTGTACATGCACATGCCCAGGGAGAAGATGTCGGCCTGCGCATCGTACTGCTGGTTGCGCGACACCTGCGGGGCGGTACGGGCGGGAGGGCGCACGCCAGGGCTTGGGCGTGTGCGCTCGGTGCGTGCATGTGTGTGCGTGGGAAGCGTGCCAATGGTTGGCTGCAACGTGCGTGTGTGTGACAGGTGGTGGCGGCGAGCGGGGCGGCACGACGGTCGGCAGCAGCAGCAGCAGCAGGGAGCAGCGACGGGGAGCCGAGGCGCCGACGAATCGCCCCCGTTCTGCTGTGCCGCAGCGCTGCCGGGGCGCCCCGCTGCGCACTTGACACCCCTTTCCTCCGGCCCCCGGGCTGCTGTCCCTCCCCCCCCACCTCTCACCTCTGGCGCCATGTACCCAAAGCTGCCGGTCTTGCCGGTGAGCGCGCGGTGCGACACCTCGGCCCATGTGGTGGAGGAGGAGAGGATGGAGGGCGTGGCGGACATGTTGGAGGTGCGGATGGACCGCTCGGAGCGCACTGCGGCAGGCAGGGCGCGTGCAGGCGCTCGGGCGAGGCACGGCAAAGAGCGGCAGCCTGCATGGCGGCGGGCGCTGAGCGGAGCGCCCCAGGCAGAAGCGGAGAGGGTGGGCTGCCCGCTGGCGGCGCCGCCGCGGCCGCCCACGCCGGCCCTGCGGCTGCCCACCTGTGGTGTTGGTCAGCATGCGGTCAAGCATCTTCTCCACATTCTTGCCGCTCGACCGCCCGCCAAGGGTGTCGGTGCTCCAGTCCTTGCGCGGCTGCGACAGCATGCGCGTACTGCAGGCGGCGGCGGCGGCATCGCAGCAGGGACGAGGCGGGGTGGGGGCGAGGGCTCAGCAGCTGGTGCTGCCGCCCGCAGGTGCTGCCCGTCGCCCCACGCATCAACCACTCTCTCCCCACCCTCTGGAACACGCCAACCTACCCAGCACCCCTCCCCACCTCCATCACCTCTCCACCACCAAGCACACACACCGCACCACACCGCACCACACCACACCACACCACACCACACCACTCATCTCTCCCGCCCCGCAGCCACTCACAGGCGCTCCATCTTCTCCTTCTCCGCCGGCGGCGTCAGGCGGGCCAGCCCAAAGTCGCCCAGCTTCACCTCGGCTTCCGACGTCGCCTCGCTCGTCACCATCACATTCTCCAGCTTCAGGTCGCGGTGGATGACCACGGGGCGGGCCTCATGAAGGTACTGCAGCGCCAGAGCAATGTGCTTGCACCAGCGCAGCGCGTCCATGTCGCTGCGGGCGGGGTGGGTTCGGGGTGGGTTGGGGCGGGGTGGGGCGGGCAGCGGGAGGTGGAGCGTTTGGTGGCAGCGCTAGGGGCGGGGCAGCCAGGCTGCTGGGCTGAGCGGGCTGGCAGACAGGCTGGTCGGGCCAGCTGTGAGCCGCTGCTGGCAGCTCCCAGCAGCCCCCCGCCGGGCGAGCCGGCATCATTCCCCCTGCCTGGCATCATTTCCCCCCGCCCCCTCACGTGTACAGCTTCTTGAATGGATTCACCATCTGCTTCCGCACAAGGTCGCCCAGGCTGCCACCAGCGCCTGCATGCATGCGCAGCGCAGGGCGGCCCGTGCCAGGACTGCGTCAGCACGTGCCGCAACACAGGCCGACAGGCAGGCCGCAAGCAGGCCGGCGTGTGCTCGGGGCGAGAGCGCATCATCCACAAGGCGGGGGAGGGGAGCTGGTTTGGGCGGTACGAGTGCAGTACAGCTGCGGTACGCACAGAACTCCTGCACGTAGTACGGCGGTACGAGTGCAGTACATCTCCTGGGGCATCGTGCCCTTGGCCGACTCCTCCGCCAGGCTGCTGTCCCAGCTGCACCCCACAAACCTCACAATGTGCCTGCAGACAAAGGCGGGGTCATCTCGCGCCGGTGTGAGCACGCGCCCACGGGGCGCATGCCGGCGGCACGCCTCGCATGCCACGCCGGCCAGCACACATGCTACACCCAGCGCCGCCTCGCCGCTGCTCTGCCCCACTGCTGGCTGCTGGCTCCAAACGTGTGGGCTCAGCGCCCCATCCCACCCGTGCCAGCAAGCCACCACACCACACCACCACACCGCCCGCCCCGCCCGCCCGCCCCGCACCGCCACCGGCACGCCCCGCTCCTCCCGCACCTGTGCCGCAGCTTGCGCAGCAGCGACACCTCTTTGAGGAACAGCTGCACCTGCTCCGGATCTACCAGCAGCTCCTGGCGCAGGATCTTGACAGCCACGATGCGCGGCCGGCCGTCGATGGACTGGCGGGCCAGCATGTCGCTGCCGCCGCCGCCGCCGCCGCCGCCCGCGGCGGCGCTGGCCGCGCTCGCCGCCGCGGGCATCAGCTCCGCTTGCTGCACCTTGGCAAACGCGCCCTCGCCTGCGCGGCAGGTGGAGAGGGAGGGCCGGGGAGGGGGGAGCGCCAGGGCGAGCGGTGCGTCAGCAGGCAGGGCTGGAGCGGGCCTGCCGCCTGCTGCCTGTCGGGCGCAACGACGTGACCTACACTACAAGAGAGCGGCCATGCGCCACCCATGCCCCGCCGTTCAGCCTGCACCACTCTATGCTGCGGCTGCCTGCACTGGCGCAGCGCCACCGGGGGGCGCCGCCTCTCACCCAGCGCTTTCATCATCTTCAGCCGCGACTCCTCAATGTATGCGTCGTCACCTATGAGGTCCCGCAGCGTCTGGAACCTGCCGGCAGCCTTGACGCCCACCAGCACGGTCTTTGCGCTGCCCCAGGCGCTCTTGCGAGCCATTGTGGTGCTGCCGCCGGCAGTGGAGGCGCCGCCCACGCTGTCGCTGCCCGCGCCAGTCTGCACGCCGGCATCTTCACTCTGCTGGGCAGCCTCCTGGTTTTGGGCAGCGGCGGGCGCCGCCGCTGCGTCGTTGGCCGAGTTTTCCATGGGGGCGGCTTTGCAGCAACCGTGCTCCACCAAGCCACGGCTTGTCGCTGGCTATCTGCAGGGAGAGTGAAACGGGCCTCCGTTGCCCTTGCAAGCGGGGTACTGTCGCAAGTGGCCCCACGCGCGTGCCAGGGGTTCACTGGGCGGGTGGTAGTCGTGGGGGGGCCTTTCTGGCCCTGATGTTGCTTGGAGGCCGCGACCTGATCTGATCGCGGAAGAGGGAGGCTGGAGCGACCCAGGTGTACTTCACCACCTCCAGGACACCCGCTGGAATGATGATAGCGCGGCGGCAGCACATGGGCCAGGGACACCTCTCCCACCACCTGCCCTGCATTGGCTGCCCTGCATTTCATGTAACCAAGGTCAGCAACCACGCACATTATGCACATCTGCCAGGCGCGATGCATGGCCCCCGTCGCGCCGGCAGGTCCCGACAGCCACGCCTCTTCTGCGCTCAGTGGCTCAGTGGCTTCTACTCCAGTTACACGCACACACAAATCAATTCTTCAAGGCGATAGGCAGCAACTTGGCATGCGGTCAGCTCACGGGGCGGGGTCAAGGGCACCCAAGGAACTGGGGAGCGCCAGGCGGCACAGTGCAGAGGGTTAAAAGTGTGGAGTGGGGACAGTGCGGATGGGGGCGAACACGCGCTACGAATGAATGCGGGCGCATGCGGGGGCTCACGCCATTGTGGGGTAGTACACACCATGGGCACAGGAGGGGGTCTGTTGGTACAGGCGCGGGGCAGGGGAGCAGACGCAAGACGAAATAGTGTGCAGCGCTAGGGGCGGGGCAGCGGCTTTCAAACATGCCGCAGGCTGATGGTTTCGTATCAGCAACGCAGAGGGGAGCAACTCGCGCGAAAGGAATAGGAGCAGACGGAGGTGGTGGTGTGTGTGAAGTGTGGTGAAGCTCTGCGCACGTGAGGCACTGGGGCCGTCGGCGGGGTGTGCGCTAGCCAGACCAGGGCAGCTCTGTGAGCGCTCCACGCCGGGCGCTGGGGGGTCAAATCTCTCACTAAACGTGGGGTAAGGAATATCGCAGGAGCGGTCAGGCCACGCAAAGGGTTGCGCCCCCAGCAGGGAGAGAGGAGGGGGAGGCGGGAGCGGGGCGCCGGACGCTGCTGGCTGCTTCTTAGGATTGTTGGGGATTGGGCGAGGGAGGGAGGTGAGAGGGGAGGCTGGTGTGCCAGAGGGGGTCAAGTGCTCGAGGGTTGAGTGGGTCGAATGCGGTCTAGCAACGTTGTGAAAAAACATCGCGGAAGAATTGGGCGGGGCAGCAGTAACTCGGGGCAGGCAACAGGACCAGCTGTGTGTTGGAGCGGAGTGCGGCGCATCTCTGGGAGGCAGACGAGGCGGCGGGCAGCACTCTGCCCGCCCCCTCGGAAAAACAGCTGAACTGGGTGGGAGCAGCTAGCAAGCAAATGGGCGTGGGGGGGGAGGGAGAGGCGAGGCTCAGGTGTGGCCGGAGGCCAAGTGGTCAGCGAGGCAGGAGGCGCGACGCAGTCCGGACGAGGATGGGCGGGAGCCAGGCGGCTCGCGGGAGGTGGTGGGGGAGTGGGGGGCAGCAGCTTGGCAGCTCCGGGGCTGCCGGCAGCTGCCCAGCGCGTGCCCGCGCGCGCACCACACAACCTCCCCGCAAACAATCGAGCGCCGGGGCCCGCCTCGGGGGCGGCAGCGGCGTGGCGGCGGGGCCGCCTCAGTACGGCTGCGCCACGCCCGCGCCGCCGGCGGACAGCGGGGGCCTCAGCAGGGCGCGGCCCCGCCCGCTGCCCTCCAGGCTCAGCACCTCCATGGCGTGGATGGCGTCGGCAGTGTCGCGGTCGGCGCCCGTCAGCGCGGGGCCCGCGGCCAGCCCGGTGTGCCCGTCAATCGCCAGTACCACCTCCTCCTGCACCAGCAGATAGGCAGATCAGCGGCGCGCCATGTCGGCTGTCACTGTGCCGCAGCACAGCAGGCCGGGACGATGGTCATGCATGCCACCTGCCGCCAGGCAGGATCCCTGCTGCGCCGCAAGGCCGCCAGAAGGGCGTGCTGCACCTCCAGGCCGGCTGGCGCCAGCTCAGCCCGCCAACTCAGCGCCGCGTGCCCACCTGGCGTGGTACCGCGGAGTCGATGGCCACGATGGAGCCCTTGATGTGGTGAGGGCCGTGCGCCACCACACGCTGGATGGCAGCCTCAGTCTCAAACGTCACAAACCCAAAGCCACGGTGCTCCCGCTTGTTGTTCTTGTCTGCAGGGCGGCAAAGCGGGGGGGTGGAGGGCGGGGCCGGCGAGCCAAGAGCGCGTCAGCACGCTGCTCCCAGGCCGGGGAGGTGCAGGCGCCGGCCCAGCCAGCGGGCAGCAGAGGGCAGGCCCCGGGGCAGGAGCGCGGCAGGCGCCACGCGGGCGCGGGCGCGTGCGGGGGCTGCCCCCGGCGGCGGCAGCGTCCCGGCAGCTTCCTGGCAGCTGCCCACCGCGCGGCAGGTACACGTCCAGCACGAAGCCGAAGCGCATGAAATGGTCCTTCACGTCCTGCTCGCTCGTGTCCTTGTTCAGCTTGCCAATGAAGATGCGGGGGCCTGCAGGGTGCGGGGTGCGGGGGGCGGGTGAGCAGCTGGTCAGCGTGGACCCGTGGGTGGCTGGGGTGGCGAAAGGTAGCCATAGTGCGGTGGTGGAAGGGCAGAAGTGGGGGTGGATGGCAGGTAGGGAGCGCGTGGAGGTGGGCAGGACAGCAGGTGGGCAGGAGAGCAGGATGGAGAGGGAAGGACGGGAGGCTGGCAGCAGCGGGGCGCGCAGCGGGGTGGCACGCCTCCCTCACCCGCGCGTGCCGACGCCGGCCCCAGCGAACCGCTGTTGCTGCTGCTCATGGTGGGCGCCGCGCTGGGCAGCGTGCTGCGCAGCCAGCCGCCGTGCACGCACTGCTCCTGCGACTGGCCCAGCAGGCTGGCCAGGTCGCTCTGCGAGGAGGCGGCGCCGCCGCCGCCGCCGGGCTGCCCGCCGCTGCCGTAGCGGCCCATGCCGGCGCCGCCGGCGGCGGCGGCCGCCGAGTTGGCGCTGAGCAGGCTGATGAGCTGTGAGGGGCTGCTGCTGTCCAGCAGGCTCTGCCCCGCGCTAGTGCTCAGCTGCTGCTGCAGCGCCGCCGCCTGCGCCTGGGCCAGCAGGCTGATGTTCATGCCCGCAGAGCCGAAGGAGTTGACGCTGGGCAGGCTGGTGCTGTAGCTGCCGCTGCTGGCCTGGCCGCCGTGGTAGGAGCCGTCGCCGCTGCTCATCCCCGCGCCGCCAAACTGGTGACCGCCGTGGTAGCTGCCGCTAGCCGCCTGGCCGCCGTAGCTGCCCGCGGCCTGCCCGCCGTAGCTGCCGGCGGCCGCTTGCCCGCCGTAGCTGCCGCTAGCCGCCTGCCCGCCATGATAGCTGCCGCTGGCGGGCTGCGCGCTGTGGTAGCTGCCGCCTGCGGGCATCGGCTGGCTGCTGTGGTACCCACCGCCGCCGCCGCCGCCGTGGTAGCTGCCGCCTCCGTGCGAGCTGCCGTTGCCCTGCAGCAGGTGCATGTGCTGCCCCGGCGACCCCGCCAGCAGCCCGGAGCCGCCGCCCATGGGCAGCGCGGGGTGGCTCATCTGGCGCCCGCTCATCCCCAGCAGCAGCCCGTTGCTCAAGCTGCACGGGAGAGCAGGCGGGCGCAGGCAGGGGTTGGTTGGTGGGCTGGCTATGGCGCCAGCAAGACATGGAGGCGCCCCCTTTTCCCCTTCTGCACCACGCAGCCGCCAAGGAGCGAGGAACGCGGGCGCCTGGTGACCAGTCGCCGCCCAGCCCTGCTAGGGATGATGCTCACCTGGGCGGCGAGGCAGGGGAGTTCATGCCGCGCATCAACCCATACTGCGAGCCGCCGTGGCTGCTGGCGCCGGCCATTTGCAGGTTGGGCTGGCTCATGCTGCAGCGTGGGGGAGGCGGGCCAGGGGGGCAGGCAGGCAAGGGCGGCACAAATGAGTGGGCGGCAGAGCAGGCTGCGGTGGCAGCTGGGCCAGGGCAGGGCAGGCCAGGTGGGATGCATGCATTGCGTGGAGGAAGTGGGAGCACGCCGACCGGCAGCTGAAACAGGTGCTTGCAGGGGAGGCGACGGCCACGGCCCCCGCATGCCAGCCGCCAGCCGGCAGCTGCCGCACCTGAGCCTGCCCGGCAGCAGCGTGGTCTTCTCCTTTGGCGTCGCTCGATCAATGGCGATCTCGTTGCCGTTCAGCACATGCGTCTGGCTCATCACCAGCTCCACTGCAAGCAGCAAGGAGCAGGGGCACGCAAGAGAGGCGGGCACGGGGGTCACTCCTTCTGCTTGGAGGCAGGCACGGGGGTGGCCGCTGCGGATGGGCTGGGGCTGCGCTGGGTCGGCGGCGCGCAGCGGGGGGGGCCAGGGGCGCTGTGGCGGTGCGCCGCACCCGACTCTGGGCTGCTGTAGGTGACAAAGCCGATGCCTCGGTGGCCCTGCTTGGAGGGGTCTTTTGGCATGTAGCAGTCCTGGCAGATCCCAAACTGCGGGGCGCAGCAGGCAGGGGGCGGGGCAGGCGTATCAAGCCCGCCAGCAGAGGAACAGGAACAAGAGATGGCAAGGCAGGCGGGCAGCAGGGCCTGGTGCGGCGTGCGCTGCCCACAGCTTGGCCGCCGCGAGGCAGCGCTGCATCAAGGCACATGCAGGGCGTGATGATGAAAAGGAAGCTGCTTCGTGTGGCGCCCCGCTTGCCTGCTCAAAGTATTGGCGGAACTGGGCGTCGGAGACGGAGGAGGGGATGCGCGCGACAAAGATGCGGGTGGTGCGAGCCGACCCCACCTTGCCCTCGGGCAGAGCAAACTTGGCCTCGCACTTGCGCCCGTCGATGCAGTGCTCCGCATTCACCGCCTTGAGCGCGTCGGCTGCGAGGAGGGATGGGGGTGGGGGTCAGGGGTGGCGCGGTGCAAGCATGTATGGTGCTGCCGGCATGCCCGGCGATTTGGGACGGGTCCCGCTGCTGATGTGCCAGCCGTTGTTAGGAGGCCCGCCACACGGCAGCCGACTCGCCACAGCACGCTGCACAGGGCTCTTCCCTGCTCCATTGCACAACGTGCTGCTGCCGCTGCTGCTGGTGGCGGCGGGTGTGGCAAGGCCAGCCGCCACCAGCCCGCACCGCCCCGTGCAGCACCTGCCCGCACCGCCCCGTGCAGCACTTGCTCCTCACTTGTGCTGCGGAATGTGACAAAGCCAAAGCCCCGAGACTTCCCGGTGTACTTCTCCCGCATTATCTGCGCCTCCTCCACCACACCAAACTGACAGAAGTGCTGCTGCAGGGTGGAGTCGTCTGTCTGCCATGGCACGCTGCAGTGCAGGCGGCGGTGGCGAGGAGGGGGGCGCAAGCTTGAGCCGCCGGCAGTTGGCGGCAGCGGCAGCGGCAGCGGCAGCGGCAGCAGACCCGCAGCGAGCGCAGGCCGCTCGGCGCCGGCCCCTGCATCCCCTTCCAGGGCGGCATGCGTGCAGGCCGCCGCGGGAGCAGCGGGCCCGGTTTTGCCGCCGTCGCGGGGCCACTTACCCTAGCACCACCACCTTGCGCTGCTCCAGCTCTGACAGCTCTGCCTCTGGCGGCGAGGCCAGCTCTCCCATGCTTTCATGGCTGCTGGAGGAAATGGAGCCGTGCTGGCTCATGCCTGCCGCCACCTCCTGCTCCGGGATGGTGGCTGGCAGGGGGGACCGTGGCGAGGTGGCGGTGGCGGGGCGGCGGGGGGACGGGCTGAACGGCGACAGCTCCCGCTGCTCACTCCCATCAAGCCAGCCCCCGCTGCTATTCACCGTCGCCGTTGCCAGGATGTCTCGCTGCTGCCAGCGCGCTGGGCCCTGCACGTAGCCAAACAAGCTTGCGGCTGAGGGCAGGGCAGGGGCTCAATGGGGCCACCCTGAGTTTTGGGCCTCCCCTGGACGCCTCCCCGGCTGTGGCAGCCAGCTGTCCTGTTTTGGGACGCTCTAACAGCGGCCGGGGGGTGGCAGGGGTGGCAGGGGCAGGCGCCTGCAGCCCAGGCCCAGTCCCTCTTGCAGGGGGGGCAAGCGGCTACAGATCCACTCCACCATCCTGCCCAGTCCCTCCGGACCACACAGGGAAGGGCCAGGAGCCCCACTGCAGCAGCGCGCCCGGCAGCAGCGCACCTGGGGGTCTTGGTGCGCTCAGGACCTGGTTCGGGCCGCTGGCTACACAGCAAGGCCGCAGAATTCGATCAATAAGGAGAGGAGAGATGCTTTCTACTAAGTTTTGGCGCGCGCATGCATTTAGACACCGCTGCATTCGTGATTTGCGTCATCATTCCCTTCATTATTATCTGCTGTATGCAGCCAGTGACTTAGGAGTGCTTCAGGCGCATCCCAGCATACTAGGGCTCTTCAATGTCAGATGAGCAAATAGACTGGCAAACAGACTGGCCAACGCAGCAGGCTGGCCCCCGGCGCATCGCAGTAACCCAAGCCTCTGCTGCAGCGAACCACAGACGACCACAGGCGGGCGAGTGTCATCCGTCCGCATCCGTCTGCTGAGCCCCCGTGGCCGACATACTGCTGTCGGCCTTCATCAGCGAATAGGGAGGGGCGCCGCGGGGCATTCCCCCTCCGGCGGCGGCACAGCCGGCAGCAGCTGGCGGCGAGCGTGGGCAGAAGTAGGGCCCCGCAGCCAGTGCAGTTCACAGCCACTACCCCACAAGCAGAGGGGCAGATGGAGCGCGCGGCGCGACTGTTGAAATTCACAGGCCAGGAAAATTGGATGCCGCGAATCGTGGCCCACGATGTGTACACAGGTAACGGAAGGGCAGGGGCTGAAAGACTGAGCACAGTTGAGCAGAGCAGAACACAGTAGGCGCAGAGCAACAATGAATTGCAGAAAAGTATACTGTTGATACACCGCAGAATGCCAAAACAGGCGCTCGCCTCTCAGGCCGCCAAGGGCGGCAGCACGAGCGCCGTCACATCCTGCACCACTGCTGCCACCCAAAACGCCAGTCGCAGCAGGCCCACCTGCAGTGCCAGCCGCCAGCGCCTGCACAGCAGCCACATCACGAGGCACAGTTCAACAGTGTGTGTGTGTGTGTGGGGGGGGGGGGATGGGCCCAAAGCCGTCCGGACAACCCCACCACGTGGGCTGCTTTGGCACACCAGCCAGAACCTCTCCTGCTGCCATGCATGCTGCAGCCTGCTGGCAGCCTGCTGGCAGCCGGGCAGACTCACGAGAGGCGCGACTGCAGGCCGCCCACAAACTGCGCTGGGCCTTGGCCCGGCTTGGATGCCAGCATGCCTCGCAGCGCCCAGGTGGCATTCACCCGCAGCCGGTCGGCCAGTGTGGCGCCCAGCAGCGTGGCTGCACGCAGGCAGGCACGGCGGGTGGCGCTCCGCTGGCCGCCAAATCGGGGTGAACGCAGCAACGGGCAGCAGTGCTGCCCCCCACACATACGTAAACCTCGCGGGCGGCAACCGCGCCCGCGCGCCGGCATCCATGCAAGCTGCTTGCCTGAGTGGCGCACCACCGCCGACTGCCGCAGGCTGTCCAGGAGCGGCTTGGGCGCCTCGGTCAGCACAGCCGCCAGATCAGCAAAGGAGCCAACGCCCGCCTCCTGCCTCAACTGCAGGCCCATGCACAGCATGCACCAGCCGGCCACCTCTGTGCCTGTCGCGAGCTGCCAGGGCTGCGGTTCCGCGGGGCTGCCGGCTCCCCAAGCAGCGCAGTGGCATGGCACAGCACAGGCGGCCGGGGCCGCGCACTGCCTCACCCGCTGCCGCTCTTCTTTGGACACCTTTGCCCAGTTGCGCGGGCGCAGGATTTCGGGCAGGATGCGGCCCCCCTTCTCGCCCGCCAGCTCCGTGGCGGCCAGCCGGGCGGTGTGCATGTCGCCCATCGCGATCGCGCACCACAGCTGCAGCGGGGGCAGGCGCGCCGCAGGCAGCCAAGGCAACGTCAGCACGGCACCGGTGTCCCTAATGCCCCCGGGCCTCGTGCCTCGCGCCTCTGCTGCGCGTGCACATCCAATTCACCGCGCAGGCATCGCAAGGGCACAGCACAGCATAAGGGAGGGGGAGCACTGCAACTGGCTTGATTGGTACCTGGCAGTACAGGCGGCGGAGGTGGTCTGGCAGGGTGACATACACGCCGTGGTCCAGCAACACCAGCTGGGGCCGCGGCCCGCCGCCCAGCAGCAGGCACGCCAGCAGCGACGGCGGGTCGGGGCGCGGGCGCACGAGCAGGTTGCCGGGGTGCGGGTCACCGTGGGTGAAGCCGTCCAGGTATGTCTGCTGCGCAAAGGTGTCCAGCAGCAGGGTGCCCACATCCCTGGGGCGCAGGCCCTGCTGGATCAGGCACTCCACATCCCTGCAGGCAGCGGCAGCCCCAGGCAGGCCCAGGCAATGGGCCAACAGGCTGGGAGGCAGCACACACGTGTGCACACACGTATCCCAGCTGGAGGCAGGATGGGAGGGCCGATTCGCATGCATGGGCAGTACCCAAGAAGCACAGCACAGCACAGCACAGCACAGCGCAGGCCCGCTACTGCAGCCTCACGTGATTCGGCAGCCTTCCACCCACTCCATGGTCAGCACCTTGGAGGAGCAGAGCTGGGGCATGGTGCGAGGCATCGCCACGTCTGCACGCCCCGCCATGCACTCTGCCAGCCTGGCGGCGTTGGTGGCCTCGTTGCGAAAGTCGAGCTCGTACTGCAGCTGCCTGTTGGTGGCAGCCAAAGGGCCAAAGGGGCAGGGGCAGCAAGGGGCAATCAGCTGCTGTGAGGGCCAACATGCCAGCTGGCAGGCAAGGCAAAGTCAGCACGTGGTCGCAGAGCACACCCTTGGCAGGCAAGCCCGTGCATGCCCTGCCGCAGGAACGGCGATGCGCAACCGAGCCGCTGCCCAGCCGGGCGTGCCTTTGCAGCTCCTCAAACAGCCAGCGCCAGCTTGTGGCGGGGAACAGCCAGTGGCCGGCATCGGACAGGATCAGCATGGTGGCCAGGTCAGCAGCCACAGCAGACTCCAGGCCGGGGTACTGCAGGGCAAGCGGAAGCAAGGCAGCGCGGCAGCCATTCGCTCTCTCGCCAGGCCTGCCAGCAGCCTGCCCTCGCACACGCGAGCAGCAGGCAGCCCTGCCCCGCCCGCCCCGCCCCGGACCGCCCCGCCCGCAAGCACCAACTGCCTTGCCCACCTGCACCTTCACCGCCACGGGCGCGCCATCGTGCATCCGCGCTTTGTGCACCTGCGCCAGCGAGGCGGCTGCCGTGGCCAGGGGCTCAAACTCGGCAAACAGCTCCTGCGCGGGTGCCCCCAGCTCCTGCAGCAGCACGCGGTTGGCGTCTTCAAAGGGGCGGGGCGGCACCCGGTCCTGAAGAGCCTCGAGGATCCTGCGGCCAGGACACAACCAGCGCAGGCGGGCTCGCGACCAGCACAGGCAGCAGGCCATCATGCCATCTGCGGCAGGAAAGGTGCTGCCTGCCCCTCAGTGCTGCTCACTTGCGGTACTGCAGCGGGGCAGCGTTGAGGGATACCGCCAGCTGCCCCGCCTGCATGGGCAGACAGGAGGCAGGGGCTGCTTGGCGGCTTGTGCCGGCAGACAGGGAATCGCGTGATGGACGGAGCAGAGGCAGCCTGCATTTGGTGCTGGTTTGTGTTGAAGGTTGAAACAGCTTGGCATCTGGCCGCGGGGCAGAGCCACGCCGAGGCGCCTGGCAGTCTCCCTGCCTTGATATAGAGGCCTCCATTAGCCTGGATGGTCAGCAGCAGCTTGGAGGCAGCGTGCTCGTGCAGCTCAGCCAGCGCCTGCTGGTAGGCGGCGCCCTGGGGGTCGGCGGCGTACCGTGCCGCGAGCGCCTTGTACTGCAGCAGCGTGCCAGCGCAGCAGCACATGCAGTTTTTTCAGCTGCTGGTGCCATGCCAAGGCTGTGCAGGCACGGAGCCTACACCGAATAGCGAGCAGGGTGGGGCAGCGGGCTAGGTGGAGACGGCTGGAGAGGTGCTTGCGTTATAGCTTGCCCAGGAGCCCCACCACACGACTCGCATGGTGCGAGGCAGGCTGTTCACGATCTCTATTGCATCGGCATCGTCCCGGCCCTTCACCACCAGGGTGCCTATGCCCGCCAGCGGCAGCCCAACCGCCGCCACCCCCGCCGCCTTGCCAACGCCTGCCAGCACGCGGCGCAGCGGTCCGGCACGGGGCCGCCCGTGCGCCTTGGCTGCGTGACGCTTATGCGCGCCGTGTGTGCGGACGCCCGCACGCTGCAAGTAGGCAGCAGCTGCTGGGAGATTGCACAGCAGCGACTGCCGTTGCACCAAGGCCGCTGTGGCGCCAGCGGGAGTCGGCTCTTGCGCCTGCCGTGCTGCCTGCCACAGCAGTCGCCCTGCGGAAGCCAAGCTGCGCCGCATTGTACAAGTCTGGATGCAGCCGGGTCACCGCTGGCAGGCGCTTTCCAGCACGACGAAGCGAACTAGCAGCCAGCTGCTTCAGTCGATGGGATTAAAAGCGATACGGGTCGGCAGCATCCATGCCAACGTCCTGCACAGAGGTGAGAGGCACGCAGCGCAAGGCCACAGTTAAGGGTAGCTCCCAACGCAAGCCAAGAATTGAGGGCTGCAATGTATCCCTGCCCCCGCGCACCCTGCTGCCTGTCGGCGCCTCGGCTGGAGCTGCCTGATGGGACTGCTGCTGCTCGGCAGGCTGCTGGCGCCGCACGGCCAGCTCCTGCAGCCCAGGGCGGCAGCGCAGACGTGTCAACAGCCAGCCACAGTATTTGCCCAACGTTGGCCTTTCGCGGAGCTGCATGCAGTGAAACGATCGGCTTCGTCGACCCGCCGGCGCCGCCAGGTCAGCAGTTGCTGGAGCAGGTCGTCACACTCCCCGCCCTTGCCTTGATCAGCTTCAGCTGGGCACGGGCGACCGGAATGCCCTCCTTGCTGGCAAACGCAGTGAGCGTGGAGGGCGACAGTAGGATGGCTGCTGCTGCGGCGCGTTGCTGGTCCTGGGCCTGGAATCCGCTCATGTGCGAGAAAGCGGTGCCGTCCTGGGCCAGGCGAAACCCTGGTATGGGGTCGGGGAGTTGAGGAGCGCCTGCCGCTGGCTCGGCCAGGGGCTCCAAACAAACGCCGAGCCGTGATCCAAAACCAGGGAACGAAACAAGGAAGCCGTCAGACCCGACCCGGGCCATGCATGGGCTGCATGGGGGTGACACGCAGCAGATTGCCCTGCTGGGGTTCAGTCACCAGGAGGCGGGCACCGCGCATTCCCGCGCATTCCCAGCTGCTTTCTGGAGCTCCTGGCCTCCTTCACAGCAGCCCCCGGCGCCCCACGCCGCCGTTATCCTGCGCCCTCTGCAGCAGCCCCCCGCCCGGAACCAGCGCTCCATCGCAGCCCCCTGCCAATCCCAGCAGCATGGTTGCCACCGCTCTGCCCCCCCAGATGACCTCCGTGTCTGGCCGTGGGCTCGGCCTGGCCCTCGGCGCAAAGCCTGTGGCCGGCGGCCTGGTGCGGGCCCCCAGGCTGCATGCAGCCACCTCCCAGCGCTGCGCCCGCCGGATCAGCTGCCAGGCGGCTCGGGACAACACCAGGACCAGGTGCGGGGGGCTTTGGGAGGCCGGCCGGGAACGCCAGCATTCTGGCAGGCGGCCTGCGACGGCGCGGCGGGTAGCGCCCGCCAGCTTCAGCCCCGCGGCCGCCCCAGCCAGCCCCGGCACCCGCAGGCCGCTCCCCAACCCCTGCGGCCACCCGGGGCCGGTGTTGTGTGGTCCAGCCCCGGCGCCGCGCGCCGCGGCGCGCTGCCGCCGCCCGCCCGCCTCCCACCCGCCGCCAACCGCTCCCCCACCGCGCTGCCGCCGCCTGCAGCGCCGCCGCCGTGGAGGCCACCCTGACCATGGCTCCTGAGGACGGCTCCGCCGTGGGCGAGATCATGGTGCCGGAGTGGGCAGGGATGAGCTACGATGCACAATACGACGACATCTTCTCCAAGCCCCTCAACCTGCGCAAGGTCACCCCCAAGCCCGACCCCTCCGCGCAGGCGCAGGTGCGGCCCGCCGGTCACGGGCCGAGGGGGCTGGGCCAGGGGCTGGGAGGGGGGCTGCTCCCGTTCCGGCTGGCTGGCAGGCGGCAGCGTGCACCGCGCAGCCGCGCCGCCGGCCTCCTCCCTCTTTTAACTCGTCGGGCTGGGTGGCGCGCGCCGCGCCCGCCATTCAAACGCCGCGCGGCGCTGCTCCTCTCACCCTCTCCCTCCCCGCTCCTCGCTGCCCCTCCTCCCCTGTTCACCCTGCCCCAGGTGCCCGGAGCGCGCAAGGTCCCCTTCAGCGACGTCTACGGCAAGCCGCGCAAGAGGCTGTTCTGGGACCGACAGTTTACCACCAAGGCAAGCGCGGCGGCAGCTGGGCCGGGCTGGGCTGGGCCGGGCCGGGCCGGGGCAGCAGCGGGCGGATCATGCGCGCCGCGCCGAGCACCCATCCTGCCTCCCTTGCTTCCCTTGCTCCTCCCCTGCTCGCTTTGTGTGGCCCCTCGCCGCTCGCCCGCTGTGCCGTCCCTCGCCGCTCACTCTCACCCGCTCCCCCTCCCTCCCCCTCCCTCCCCTCCCCGCGCTGCCCCCCACAGGACAAGGTGTACCTCGGCTACATGGCGTTTGTGCACGTGGGCGCCCTGCTGGCGCCCTTCTACTTCTCCTGGGCCCACGTGGCCGAGTTTGCGCTCATGTACTTCATCACCGGCTGCCTGGGCATCACGCTGTCCTACCACCGCCAGCTCACCCACCGCTCCTTCACCACCCCCAAGTGGCTGGAGCGCGTGTTTGCCTACTGCGGAGTCATGTCGGTGCAGGGAGACCCGCTTGAGTGGGTGAGCGGGCTTGGCTGGGGTGGCTGACGGGGATGGCCTGGGCAGTTGGTAGCCGGGGCGTGCGGCTGGCGGGGCGTGGAGCTTGCGGGGCGTGAAGCTTGCGGGGCGTGCGGCGTGGGCAGCCAGTCAGCCCAGCCAGCCCAGCCCATGCGCAGCGCAGCGCAGCAGCCAGCTGTTCCCTGCGGCCCGCCTGCTGCCGTTTGTGAGCGGTCCACACGCGCCCCCCCTTCCCCGCAGGTGTCGTGCCACCGCTACCACCACCTGCACTGCGAGACGCCGCTCGACCCCCACTCTGTGTACGAGGGCTTCTGGTGGAGCCACATGGGCTGGCTGCTGGACGACGACGCCACGCAGAGCCGCGTGTTTGACACCTCCAACGCAGCGGGTGGGGCGCGCTGCCCGTGGCCGCCTCATTGCGCTGGTGTCCCCCCGCCTGCCTGCCCGCCTGCCCGCCTGTCACGTCCCCCTGCATCACTCCTCGTCGGTGCCACGCTCTCCCGCCCCACCTGCACCATCTGCCCCTCCCTCCCCTGTCCGTCCATCCGTCCGCAGACATCGCCAAGGACCCCTTCTACGCGCACCTGCACAAGCACTACACGTGGCACGTGGTGGGCATGTTTGTGGCCATCTACCTGCTGGGAGGCTGGGGCAGCCTGCTGTGGGCGGGCTGCCTGCGCACCGTCTGGGTCTACCACATCACCTGGTTTGTCAACTCCGCGGCCCACGTGTGGGGCACCCAGACGTATGAGACGGGTGAGGCGGGAGGGAGGGAGGGGGTCGCGCTGGGTGGGGACCTGCAGGGAGAGGGGCAGGGCGAGCCCGGCTGGCGGCTGGCGGCAGCCGCGCGCATGCACGCCAGTGAGACCCCCGGCGAGGCGGTGCGCCTGTGCTTGCTGCGCCCGCGTCCCGGCAGCGCCCCACCGCCCCCGCCCCGCGCGCGCCCCGCTGCCGCAGGCGACCAGTCTCGCAACAACTGGTGGGTGGGCCTGCTGGGCTTTGGCGAGGGCTGGCACAACAACCACCACGCCTTTGAGTTCTCGGCGCGGCACGGGCTGGAGGACTCTCAGTGGGACATGACCTGGCAGGTCATTCGGTTCCTGGACTTCCTGGGCCTGGCAGACAACATCAAGCTGCCCAGCGAGAAGCAGAAGGAGCGGCTGCGCCTGGAGGACACCGTCGTCGTCTGAGCGCCCCGCGGCCTCCGCCCAGGCGGAGGCGCTGGCCCGTGCGGCGCCGTGCTGGCCCGGGATGCTCGCACGGCGGCGCCCTCGGCGCCCACATTATTAGATGCCCGGCAGCGCGGCAGCCAGCCGGCCGGCGCGGCTTCCAGTCAGGCGCGGCGCACAGCGGCGCGGCGGGCCTCTCGGAAACGCGCGGCGCGGCGGGGGTGGCCTCCCGGCCTCCTCGCCCGCGCGCTGGCCCCCGTTGCCGCTCGCCCCAGCACCTCTCTTCCCATTTAATGGGGTTGCGCAATTATGCATCGCCTCTCCCTACGACACTGCTCTTTCAACAAATGCCCGGTGATGCGCCTTCGTATCCCCCCCTGTGCCCTGCCCCTTCCCCTTCAACTCCTTCCCTCCCCTCGCCACCCGACTGCCTTTTTGCTTTGCCCTTCCGAGTGTGTACCAGGCTAGGGCGCCCCGGCGGTCCCGCTTGACTGCCCCCCGCACGCCTGCCGCCGCGCCGTGCGGCGCGAGAGGCCAGGCTGCCCGGGTTGACGCCCACCCTTTCTCCCCTGCCTGTCCCGTGTGTGCGCGCACTGAATTGCCTTGCCGTTGTATCAATCCATCACCTACCACATTTTTTGGCCTCCTGATCCGGTCTCCTGCCGCGCTTCGGCCCGCCAGCAGCACCTCGCGCCAACTTGCCCCCACCCGCATGCATGCTGCGTGCCGTACTACCCTACAATGTTTCAACACACGAAAGCCGCCCTGCCGGACTGTGAGATGTTTGATGTTGGTCCCCCATTCCCTTGCCAATGAATCGAATCGCGTCGTTAGCAGCAGTCTCCGTGCGCGCCTTTAGTGTAAGCGTATCCCACCACCGCAGCCAGCGGTACAGGCATGGTCAAAGCAGTACAGGCAGGGGCAAGGGCAAAGCAGTAGGGTCAGGGCAAGGGCCAGCCAAAGGGGAAGGGCTAGGGCCATCCAGAAGGCGAGGAGTGGGGCTGCTGCTGGCATAGGTGCTGCTGTATCTGCTGCCGCGCCGCCGACAGCTCCTCCTCTGCCACCGGGCCGGCGGCAGCCGGCAGGGACTGCCCCTCCACCCGCCGCCTCGCAGAGTCCAGGACATGCAGCAGCGGCCGCGCGTCGCCCTCTGCCGCGGCATTGATGACCTGCAGGCGTGATGGGCGGACCCAGTCAGGGAGAGGCGCGGCAGCAGCGGCACAGAAAGAGGGAGGGGCAGCAAGCAATGGAGGTATGCCTGCGCAGCTGCCAGCGGCGGGCTCTGCGTGAAAGGCGGGCAGGCAAAGCAGGAAGCGGGCCCACCTGCTGCGCCAGCGTGGCGGTGATGCGCTTCTGCACCACCATCTCTAGCAGGTAGCTCAGCCGCTGATCGCTGAGTTCAGGCGCCAGCGAGGGAGGCGGCTCGCCAGGCCCGTAGCCGCCAGGGGACAGCGCGCGGGGCGGCAGCAGCTGGGCAAGCGTGGCGCTGCTTGGGGGGCCGGCGCCGCCCCCACGGGCGCTGCTGCCAGCAGAGCCTGCGGGGCCTGGGGATGCCCCGCCGCTGCCGGACCGTGGGCTGGTCTGCTGGTGTGCTGACAGCGGGATGTAGGATGCCGCGGGGGAGCCAGATGCCGCCGGGAAGGCAAAGGCCGGCGCCTCCTGCTTCCGGGGCTGCTGATGTACCGAGCTCCCGCCGGGGCTGGCACCCCCTGCTCCTGCTGCCGCAGAGGCGTTGCCGCTGCCGGGTGCAGGCGTGGCGCGCGGTCCCGGCCCGGCGGAAGCCCAGCTGGACCCAGGGCTGGCAGCTGGCGCTGCTGCTGGCGCCAGGCGGCCGTACGGGGGCGGCTGCGGCGGCGGGGGCGGCTGGGAGTGGGAGTGGGCGCCGGCCTGGCTGCCGCCGAGCACCTGCTGCGACAGCGCCTCCACCTGCGCATGCAGGGCGCGCAGGCGCTCCCCACGCTGCGCGTTCTCCCGCGTCAGCGCCTTGATGGCAGCCTCCTTGAGCAGCTGGTCGGCCTTGACCGAGCGCAGCAGCTCGCTGAGGGATACCGCCTGGTCGTCGGCGGCGGCGCTGCGGCAAGCACGGAGGGGCAGGTTGGTCGTGAAGCAGGTTGAGGGGCGTTGGCTCCAGCAAGCAAGGAGAGGGGCTGCCCGGAGAAGGAGAGGCCAGCAGCCGACATCAGGCAGGCCACGGCGCCCATCCCAACCCACCGCGCAGAGCAGCACTCCCCCAGCATCTGCCGGCACGAGTCCAGCACACCGTTGCTCTGCTGCAGCTGGCCCCGCAGCCGCGCCACTGCGCTCTCCAGCCCCACGTTGCCCTCCTGCAGCTGCTGCACGGTAGCGGCCAGCCCGTCGCGTTCCTGCCGTAGGGCGTCTGCCGCGGCGGTGGCCGCCTGGCGTGCCGCCGCCGCCGCCGAGGCCTCGCCCTGCGCCTCCGCCAGCTGCCCCTCCAGCGACGTCTTGGCGCCCTGCAAGCTGTCGGCCAGCTTGGCCAGCTGCCGGGCCTCGGCCTCAGCCTCCTGCGCCCGCTCCTGCAGGCGCTGCCCCTCGCGCCGCAGCTCGCCGGCCGCCTGCTCCAGGCGGCCGTGCTCCTCCTCCCCCTGCTGCACCGCAGCAGCAAAGCGCTCCAGCTGCGCCCGCATGCTCTCGTTGTCGGCGCACAGCTGGCGGTTGCGGTCCCCGAGCTGCAGCAACAGGGGCAGGCCGGTGTGTGTGGGTATGTGGTTGGAGCTGGGTGATTGATTGAGGGCAGGCGGGTCTTGGGCAAGAAGGAGCGAGTTAAAGGGCAGGCCTGGCCCCTAGCATGCTATAGCATCTTCCAGAGCCAGCACTTCCCGACACATGCACCAAGCGCATGCTCAGGCGGGGACCTGCTGCTCGCTCACCGCAGCCAGCTCTTCCTGCAGCGCGCCCTGGCTGCCCAGCATTCCCTGCAGGTGAGCCACCTGCTGCTGCAGCTGCCCACCCCGCTGCTCCTGCTCCTCACACAGCGCCGCCAGCCGCTCCGCCTGCCTCAGCGCCGCAGCCTGCTCCGCGGCAGCCTCAGCGCAGCTCGCCTCTGCCTGCTCCCGCGCCCGCCGCAGCCTGCCGCACTCCTCCTGCAAGCCTGCCAGCAGGCCCGCAGTGCGCTGCACCTCTTCCAGCGCCTGCGCCAGGTCAGCAGCCAGCGCCTGGCGCTCCTGCTGCGCCTGCCGCAGCTGCTCCTGGGCCTGCTGGTGCTCCCCGACCAGCGCATCCAGAGCCGCAGAGGCGGCAGCCGCCTGCGCCACCGCCGTGGCTGCCGAAGCGGCCGCGGCCTCTGCCTTGGCGCAGGCGTCTTGTGCGGCCCGATCGGCGGCATCGCGCGCAGCACACGCTGCCGCCCGCTCCGCCTCTGCCGCCTCCCTGCCCGCCTCGGCAGCATCCCGCTGCGCCGCCGCCGCAGCGCCGGCTGCCTCTGCCGCGGCCTGCGCAGCCAGGGCGCGCTCCAGCGCTTGCGCCGTGTCGCGGTGCTGCTCCTGCGCCAGGTGCGCCGCCGCCTGCAGCTCCGCCACCTGGCGCTGAGCTGTCGCCAGGTCGCCATCCAGCGACTCCACCTGCAGGTGCAGGCACTCTGCCTGCCCCTCCACCTCCACCCGCACACACTCCAGAGCTTCAACCTGCAGCAGGGGTGGGAGGGGTGGCTGCGTGAGGCGGGGGAGAGGAGCAGGCACATGCGACGGCACATGCGACAAGGCGAAAAGCGCGGCTGGGACGGCATATCCCCGTTTGGCAGGTGGCACTGGGCATTGCTGGCTGCCCGCTGGGCCTCAGCAGCTGCACCACCCGCGGCGGCTGCGCCCCTCACCTCTCCGGCCTTGCTCTGCAGCTCGCGGCTCACATCCTGCACAGCCGCCTGCAGCTGTGCCACCACTCCCAGCGTGGCACACAGCTTGCCGGCCAGGGCCGCGCGCCGCCAGCCCGCGACCAGCCTGCCCAGCAAGCGGCGGCGCAGCAGCCCCCGTGCATGCCCCAGCTGGTGCGTGCGCTGCCGCCGGGCAGCCACCGCGGCGCGCCAGGCGCGCAGCGAGGCGCGGAACCGCCGCTGGCTACACCGCTGGCTAAAGGCAGCAGCCATCCTCCTGCACGCGGCACAGACAAACACGCAGATCTAGAGACATGAGGGGGAGAGGAGCGGACACGTGTGTACTATCTCTCTCTCCAGCAAGACATGTGAGGCACGACAAGATAGCCAAGCAGGCCCCGCAGCCTCACCTCTTCTCGGCCCACTGTGCGGCGCGCCGCCAGGCCTGGAGCGCCGCCGCCAGCAGCCGCGCGTCCCGCCGACGGTTCATGCCGCGGCACACCGCCGTCCACTCCTGCCACCCCTCCCAGCAGGCCGCCAGCGTCGCCAGACGGCGGCGGTGCTGCACTTGCGCCAGCTGCTGAGCCTGGTGCCGCTGCTGGGCCACTCCCAGGCGCCACGCGCGCCACCCGCGGCGCAGCAGCAGGGCACGGCTGGTGAGGGCGCCGCGCAGCGCGGCGGTGCGCTCACGCTTGGCCTTCGAGGCCGCCTGGCGCCAGCAGGAGAGCTGGCGCTGCAGGAAGTGGCGTCCAGCCAGGGCCTGCAGAGGGGCAAGGCGATGCCGGGCAGCTGAGAGAGGCCCCATCTCGAGCTTCCATCACACCAGGTGGTGGCACCACACGAACACAGCGTACAAGGATGGAAACAGAAGGGTGCCGGCCACAGTCAAGGGCGCGTTACCTTGAGCAGGCGCGTGTGGCGGCGGTGCTGCAGGTAGTCCTGCCATGCCAGCAAGGCGCGCCGCTGGCTGCCCATCCACCGCTCCAGCAGCCGCACCTGCACCGCCGCCAGGCGCGGCAGCACATGCTCCCGCATGTGCCCCCTCCAGCTGCCGAAGAAGCTGCGAAGAAGGCGGTGGCGCTGCAGCTGGGCGCCCGCCCGCACCGCCGGGTGCCGCGCAGGCAGCTCCACCTGCCGGCAGGCCGCCGTGCGCCGCAGCCAGGCCGCAAAGCACTGCCGCAGCAGCGCGCTCTGCCGCTGCATGCCGGCGGCGGCGTCCAGCCCCCGCCCCAGCACACACCCCTGGCAGTACGCCTGCCAGGCCTGCCAGGCGCCCTGCACGCGCCGCAGCTGCCGCTGCTGCTCCCGGGCCGCCACCAGCTGGCTGCGCCGCGCAGCCAGCCGCCAGGCGGCCAGCCAGCCCGCCAGCAGCGTGCGGCGGCGCAGCAGGGCCGCCGCCTGCTGCATGGCTGCAAGGTAGGCGCACTCTGCTGCCGCCTCGCGCCAGCGCATCAGGACGCGGCGCAGCATCACGCGGCTCGCCAGCGCAGAGCTGCAGAGCAAGGGAGGTGTGGACAGCCGGGCGGCAACCACCTTGTCAGAATCCTAGCCCATGTCTCCCTGCAGCAGCAACAGCCGGATCCCACCCACCCCATGCACAGTCTCCGCCGCAGCTTCCAACCAAGGGCTGGCAGGCAGCAGCGGGCTGGGGCACCCACCTGGCAGCCTCGACCCGTTCCTGCTGCTGGTAGGCCGCCACCTGCCCCTGCAGCTCGCCGGCCCGAGCCTCTAGGGCCACCACACGCGCCGCCTCTGCCCTCCACTCGGCCTCATGCGACACTACCGTCAGTCGGAGCTCTACAGCCTTGCGCCCTTCCAGCTCCGCCACCCTGGCTGCCAGCTGGCGGCTGGTGGCAGCCGCCGCCTCGCGCTCGCGCTGCGCCTCGCCTGCAAGCCGCTGCCGCTCCGCCTGCGCCTGCTCCGCCAGCTGCTGCCGCTCTGCCGCCGCAGCCTGCAAGTCAGCCCTCAGGGCTGCACGATTCGCCAGTACCTCCTCCAGCCGGCTCCCCAGCTCCTCCAGCTGCTGCTCCCGCCGCCGCTCCTGTGCCGCCGCCACCCCAGCCGCCTCCTCCAGCGCAGCCCGCTGGTCGGCGAGCTGGCCCTCCAGGCTTCGGGTGTGCTGCTGGGCCTCCTGCAGCGCCAGCGCCAGCTGGTGGTTGGCCGCCTGCAGCTCGGCGGCGGCAGTCTCGTGCTGGGCCATGATGGACTGGAGGGCCTCCATCTGCAAGCAGGGCGTGTGGCCAGGCACAGTGCCGTAAGCCGGAAGCGACAACGGCCAGAGGTGCACGTCAACCAGCCCACCCAAGAGTGCTGGGAGCCAGGACCCATGCCGTTGCCAGCCGCAGCCGCAAGGCACACAGGCCTGTACTCAGCAGCAGCAGGCAAGGGGGGCAGCCCCCTGCTCCATCCCACCTGGCTGACACGCCCCTCGCGCTGCAACAGGCGGAGGATGGCGTGCAGGCCAGCACCGTCCTGCGGGCTCTCAGCACGTGGGCAGGCGTCGCCTTCGTTGCTGCTGCAGGCTAGAGGGTTGGGCACCCACTGCAACAGCCGAGGCAAATGGCAGATGGGCAAGGGGTGTGCAGCTCCGGCCCGCTTGTCTGCACATGCATGCAGCTTGTGGGGTTGCCGAGTGGGGAGGGGTGTCTGCCTAGCGCTCACCTGTGCTGAAGGGCTGCCAGGAAGGGGGTGGCCGGGGCTGGCCGGCCGGGCGCGCTGCGGGCTGCTGCTCCTGGAGGCTGCTGCCACGGGCGGCTGCCGGGGCGCAGGGTGCCTGCTGCCCTCCCTGGCCACCACTGCATGGCCGCTCGAGGCAGGAGCCTGGGAGGCACCCTGGAAGGGCCGCGGCGTCGTGCACCGCGCCTGCTCCATCCGTTCATACTCAGCCAGACCATCATCGGCGTGCCACTGCCGCAGGCCTGCAGGCGCGCCGGGCTGCCTGCTTGCTGGGGCGGTGCCTGGGCGAGGCTCCCCAGCCAGCTCACCCGACGCCGGGGCGCCGCTGCCTCCAGGGCGCGCCGAAGCGGGCCGCGGCGCAGGCTCAGGCCCGTGGGTGTCACCCCGCTGCGCCTTCAGGGCGCTCTTCAGCCTGGCTGCCCCCAGCTGGCCTTGCGGCACCGCTGCTGCCGCCGGTGCTGGCCCGGCAGAGGCGGGCCGCATCGCAGCAATGGCCCACTGGCCTCGCCCCGCCGCCGCCGCCTCCTCCCCATCCTGTGCCTCGAGCGCCTGCCGCTGCTGGGGCACCGTGCTGGAACCGGTGCCGCTAGCCGCCTCCAGCGCGGCGTGCAGCTCCCGGATGCGAGCCTCGTAGCGAGCAGCCCTCTGCGGGGCGTTGCTGTGGGCTGCCGCATCTGCCAGGCCCAGGAAGGCGTCCCTCAGGTCCTGGATGAGCGCTTCCCTGCGGTGCGAGGAGGACAGCGGGCACCCCGTTGCAGGTGTAGCATCAGACACAGCACGTGCACCAAGCACAGTAGGTGTGTGCACTGCACACTGCACACGCCAGCACAGTTGGCGGGCGGTGGTGGGACAGGCGGCCTGGCTACCTCACCTGTCCTGCCGCACCCTGGCCTGCGCCTGCTGCTCCCCCTGTAGTGCGGCGCGCTTGGTGGGCGAGGGAGGGCGCGTGATGGGCGCAAGCGTGGCGGCAGCCTCCGACTTGGCATCCTCCAGCATCCCCATCAGGCTGGCAATCGTCTCCTGCTGTAGCAGCATCACCTGGGCAAATGCCTGCACGGCAAGGTTTGGCGGGCGGGGGAGAGGTGCAAGCACATCAGACAGCTGGGGAGCTGTCTGAGGCGGGCAAGACATGCATGCTGCAAAGTGCGGGTGAAAGGCATGCCACGCACGCCCACCTGCTGCCACAGCTTGCTGCTGCCCTCTGGCTTGCCTCCCGCCAGCACAAGCTTGCGGTAGCGGCGCCCCACCTCGCGCCGGATGGCCAGCCCAATGGCGTGCCGCTCCTGCGGGTGGGGTGGCAGCCGGGGCATTGCAGTGGGCATTGCCAGGCGGCCTCAGCGTGGCAGATGACAAGGCAAATGCTGTGGCCGGTCTGCAGCTGGCCTAAGCAGCCCAGACCGACACCGGTGGCGCATGTGGCAGCCAGCGCAAGCCAGCGGGGCTGCACCTGGCGCCCCAGGCTGCCCTCGGCGTCCCACAGCTGCAGCAGGCGGCTCATGCCGCGCCCGCTGCTGCCGGGAAGGCTCTCGGGCCCCGCGCCTGCGCCCGCCGCTGCGGCGCTCCCATACTGGCCGCCCAGCACCGCACACTGCAGCTCGCAATGCAGCTTCACCAGCTGCACCGCACGCCCCAGCTTGTGCACCAGGCAGGCGTTGCTGGTCATCAGCGCGAGCATGGTGGCCTCGTGCGCCACGGCCCCCGGCGCCGCCCGCCGCTCCTCCTCGCCGACTGGCCGGTTGTCCAGCATGGCCAGGGAGGGGCCCAGCGTGGCGATGGCGTGGGCCCGGTAGTTGGGCAGGTCGGCCATGGGGTTGCCCTCGAAGCTGGCGGCTTCCAGGGCGATGCCCGCAGCGGGCAGGGCGCGCAGGCACTCGAGGTCGCCCAGCTCGTTGTCGGCGGCCGACAGCGCGCGCAGGCCGCGGAACTGCTCGACGCCCGCCAGGCTGCGCAGGCTGTTCTTGCTGACGTACAGCGTCTGCGGGGAGGCAGCAGGGGAGGTGGGAAGGTGGGAAGCCGCCCGACAGATGAAAGGGCCTGCAGCTGGTTGAGGAGAGGGTAGACGGGTTAGAAGAAGCGGCGGGCCCCACCTTGACAGCAGCATAGCGCTCGGGGAGGGCATCCAGGGAGGCTATGCTCTTGTCCACCGCCGCAATCTTCTTGCCATCGAAGCTGCCCGGCTGTTGGGCCAGCACCGCCGACAGCCCGACGGCGGCAGGGCGACGGCCCGGCCTGGCCGCCGACGACACCCGTTCCGCCTGCCGCTCCTTGTGCTTGACGGCATAGCCACTGGCCGACATTTGTGGGGTGTGCCGAGGGCTGGAGCGCCGTCTTGGTCACCCCGAAAGCGCGCCCGCGTTTGGAAAACTGGCGCGCTGCTTTAGAGGGGCAGCTGAGTTATCCAGGCCTTTAGGTGAATGATAGGCTCAATCCAATAGCAGACTCGCGCTGCCCGCTGCGAGGCGTTGCGGCGGCCCCCATTCGCTGTCCTGCCGCCTGACCGCCTATCAGGAGCCTAGCTGGTCAAGATACGAATGGGAAAATCCGCAACCGGTGGGCGACGAGGCGGCTAGGGCCCACAGCACGCGAAGCAGGGCGGCGGCGTTCGCCGACAGCTGACCGCAGCTGGCGGCGGCAGCTGAGATGTATAAAACGAACGCAACACAGCAGCCAAACGCTCCCGACATCCATCACATCACTGGGTCGCTCAATTTAATGACAGAACTTTGGCCGGCTGGCTGCGTGGACGCGTGGACGGCCTTTTTGCGCATCAAGCCGGATTTTAACTTGATAATGGTGCGAGTGTACCGCTTAAGGCCGGCCCTCGTTGCTTGCCCTCTCCCGCATCTGTGGGCCTGATGCCCTCCTGCCCACCCTGCTGGCCTGTAAATCCTGCTGGGCACTGCCATTGGCGCCGCGCTGCCAGTGGCCTGGATCCTCATCGTCAAGGTTTGAAACGGCTCCCGCAGGCGCAGGGCCGGGGCCGTCACGGTGTCCTCTCTTCTCGTGATCAAGGCGGAGGGCGGCTCGGACAGCCACTTGGGAGGGACCCCTCCCCGGCTCCCCGCCGTCCCCCATGGCAAGGAGGCGGAGGCCTGATGGATGCGTGCCCGTCGCTGCCGCTTGCGCACGTGTGTTGCTGCTGTCCCATTGCTTTTGTCGCCAATTGTAGTAAGGAGAGAATTCGTCGCTGGGCACGTAACGACGTTTATGTTGACTGTAAATAGAGCAGCAGGCCCCAACAGCTGCAGCCGAACTCATGTTGCATTCCCACAGCTCAGCACAGCGCAGCGCAACCAGCAACCATGCCGCTATCCTCTGCTGCCCTGTGTTGTCCGCAATTGGAGTTTCCACTCGGCTTTCTGATCTTTAAGGAGCCTACTGGCAGCAGGCACGTCAGGCAAGAGCACCTGGGGAGTTTTGCTGGCAATCGCCTCCCGCGACAGCGTGGCTCGTTGAGAAGCTCCGCCGAGAACATATGAGCCCTTGCAGCAACATGAGGGTGTGGGGAGCCGCTGTGCAAGTGTTTTATCGCTGATCATGTGCTCCCTTGCTCCCGTTCGTGTCGGGCGCAGAAACCATGTCGCAGCAGGACGGAAAGCCTGACTGCGGCTTCAACAGCCAGGTGGGTAGAGGTGGTGCGCCGCCGATGCCGCGCCCGCCGCCGCCCACCGCCGCCTGGCATCGGCAAAGTCCACACTCACAAAATCACTTTGTTTGCTCTGGGGAGCAGGGCAACTGGTACCGGAGCCATGGTGACGGTGCGGCAACTGGCGGCTCTTACTATTACAACAACTCTGATGGGTCCTATTACTACCAGAAGTGAGTGAGCACGGTAGGGTGGTTGGGCGTCAGGGCTGCCGTGATAGCGCGCAAAGCTGCCGCAATGCTGGCCGGCACACTCGCTTCGCTCCTCTGCCCGCTTGCTGTGCCTGCAGCTCCAACGGCTCCACCTACCATAAGCCCGCCGACGGCCCTGGCCGCTACAGTGCCCCCCAGGACAACCCGCGCACCCAGGGCAAGTGAGGTGGCGGAACAGCATGAGCATTGCGGCACGGCGGCCAAGCATCGAGGAACTGAAGCACTCTTGATCAGCAATGGCACTGGATGTGGTGGGCATGGCAAATTGATGCTGCCACCTGTTTTGTGTAACATCACAGTCCAACTGGTCTACACAGTGGCATCTGGCCACGGCAGCCGCCCGCCCGGCTGGCGCCGCCGTGGCCGGTACCCCACTGGCGACCCCTCAAGCTGATCAGCACATGCCGCATTGCAACCCATCTACTCCTCTCCTGCTTTGACGTCACAGCAAGAGATGCTGCCCCGCAGTTAGCGCAAACCCGCACGCCTGACTCTCTAGCTTCCGACAGCGCAAGCGCAGAGCGACCCGGCTGGATGGCGCCCGCCAAACCCGTGGATCCATGGGGCCAGGTGAGCTGCTGATGGGCGCCACAGCACTCAGCGTTGCCCGGGCGCCGTGACGCCTCGCCCTGCCGCTTCAGGAGGACGACTTGGAGGGCACGGCACTATACACTACCCTCGGCCTGGAGCCCAGGGCCAGGAGCGAGGACATCAAGAAGGCGAGAGCAGAGGGAGGAGCCGCCGCCGGCACCGCCGCCGCCACCGTTGCCTGCTGGTGAAGACCCCAACTCGTGCCTTCCCTAGCCTACTCCCTGCCCAGCCGCACTCGTTCTCCGCCCTCCCGACCCTGCCCCTGTCCCGCAGGCCTATCTCCAGCTGGCCAAGCAGCACCACCCCGACAAGGGTGGCGACCCAGCCGCCTTTGCCCGCATGCGGGCGGCCTTTGAGGTGCTGAGCGACCCCCCAAAGCGCCAGGTGTACGACACGTGGGCCAAGCAGCTGCAATTCAGGTGGGGGCAGCGCCGCTGAGGCAGCGGCGGCCCAACGCCACCCTGGCCTCGCAGGCTGCTGTCGGCCCCCGCTTGGCTGTTGCTGCTCCCGCCGGCCTGCCGCCCATCCACATCCCGCACCCTGCCGCTCCTGCCCTGGATGCAGATATGTGCGGTCGACGGCCGCTGCTGGCGGGCTGGGGCAGGGAGGCGAGGACATCTTGCTGGATGGGTTCGAGAGCCTAGGGCTGCACTGCGACGCCGCCACACAGGCGCGCCATGCCGGCCGCTGCCGCCCAGATGCTGACCAGCCCCATCCTGCTCCGCACCTGTGCCCTTGCTGGCAAGGCAGCGGCAGCTGCTGTACGCTTGGTGTGCCCACTCCGTCCACACCCACCCGAAACGGCACACCCGACCAGGCTGGCCTGGGTGCTTTGCCCTCCCCTGCCCCACTCTGGCCTCCCCTGCCTCTCTGACCTCCCATGCCCCTCCCCTAACCTCCCTGCCACGCCCTGGCCGCAGCTGGTGGTGACATGCGAGGTGTGCCGCCGCCCCGCCACCAAGGAGTGCTGGACGTGCGGCATGCAGATCTGCGAGTTCTGCACGCTCAAGCGCCACTGGAAGGTGGGGGCGCACTGGTCTGTGGCTAGCCCCTGGGCTGTGGCTGGCCAGCTGCTGGCGTCAAGGGCAAAAGCGTGCCAGCACGGCTTGGCAGCAGCGGCAGATGTGATGGAGTGGCATTGTGCATGCAGCCCTGCTGGGAAGCCACCAGCCCCAGCCGTCCCGGCCACCAGCCGCCTCGTGTGCTGCCGCTGTGGAGTGAGCCTCAGCTCGGCTGGCCCCGCTGCCGCTGGTCCCACCGTGCCTTGCTGCTGGCGCAGGGTGGCTTCCCGCTGCACTGGCCGCTGATCAACCGCGACCACATGCGGGACCGGCTGGGGCAGAAGGAGCTGGAGCGGAAGCGGGTGGAGGACTCCAACAGGCTGGCGCTGGAGGACCCAAACTTCAGGTGCTGAATGGGGAGGGCCAGGGTGGAATGTGTGTGTGTGTGTGTGTGTTTAGGCGTGTGCGAGAGAGGTCCCGCGAGGGAGGTGTGGGCTGAGGGCGTTGAATCGGGTTTGGGGGCATGTGGGAATGCCAGGAGCTGCACACTCACACATCGGACGGCCTCCCTCCTCGCTGCCGCCTGCCACCCCCCACAGGAGCGAGGCGGAGCTGCAGGACATCCGTGCCTTCAAGGAGGCGGCCGCCACCATGGCGCTGCGTGAAGACCGCCGCTCCGCGCACGACCCCCGCCTCGCCCGCTTCTACATGTGGGCGCAGACGGCGGCCACCGTGTTCCTGGCCTGCCGAGTGCCCACGGGTGCGTGTCGCTGACCTTCCGCGGCTGCAGCGGGGCGGGTACAAGAAGCAGAGGGCTGGAGGCAGCTGCGCGCTCAAACCACCTGGGGGCAGGGCTGAGCAGCGGGCTGGGCCTGACCTTTTGGCACCTGCCTGCCGTCGCCCCACCCGGCTGGCGTGGATGTCCCACCTGCCCCACACCCCTCGCCTGTGTCCTTGCAGGGTATGAGGACCGCGAGCTGGTGATTGAGTGCACCGCGCACGGGCTGCTGGTGCAGAGCGAGGACTCGCCACCGCTGATAGACCGCCACTTTGGGCACGGCGTGGACCACAGCAGGCCGGTGGAGACTTTCAGGCAGGGCCCTGCTGCTGCTGGTGGTTGAGCGTGTGGTGGCGTGGTGGGGTGGCGGCGTGGGGACTGTTATGAGGCCGCAGGGGAGCAGCAGCATGGGCAGCCTGCAGCGCTGGCCTCAACCTGGAGACCTCAGCCCCAGCCCAGCGCCTGCCCCGGCCAGTGCTGCCGCTGCCCACGGTGCTGAGCGCCGCGCCGCCCTGCCCCGCCTGCTGCCGCAGGACCAAAGACAACCGCGTGTGCGTGCTGGCGTTTGCCAAGGCCGAGCCTGGGGAGCACTGGCAGCGCATGTTTGAGGGGGACAGCGACGGCGTGCGGTGCATGCAGCCGCCCTACACGCTCACAGGTGCGTGGTGGGTTCTACAGGACCGGCCGGCAGGGGTGCCAGGGCAGCCAGGTGCCAGGGGTCCTGCCTGCGGCTGCCGGGGCAGCTACCATGCATCGAGACAAGCCTGCACAGTCAGCCATGCCCACTCATCGTGCCCTTTCTGCACAATGCAACACACACACACAGTCCCACAACACGCATGCCCTACCATCCCCATCATCGAACACCACCACACCACTATCGCCCCCCCCACCCCACCCCCGCCCGCCCGCAGAGACGGCTGACGATGTGCTTGTGGAGGTGGAGCTGCCCTTCTGGATCGACGCCGAGGATGTTTGTGTGCGGTTCGGGGAGGCGCGCCTGGAGGTGGAGGTGCACAACACCATGCGCCTGCACCGCACCTACTGGCGCAGCACGTGAGCGGGGAGGGGGGTGCCCCTGGGATCGTGTGTGGTGTGCATGTGTGTGTGTAGTCAGGGCGGCTGTTGGTGGGGCAGGGCAGGGGGGTGCCGAACGGCGTGGCGTTCCGATCAGCTTGTGGCTGGGGAGGCAGGGGAGGCAGCGCGCCGTGACGGGCAGCTGCTGAGCCTGGCTGCTCCTTCCTTCGGGCGGGACAGCAAGGCCTATCGCCGCGCACGGTGCCCTGGCCCCCCTGTGCAGCGACGAGGAGAGCCGGCGGCGCGACTACAAGGTTGTGGAGCTGGGGGAGTGCCTGTGGTCGCTGGAGGAGGACTGCAATGCTGCGGGGGAGCGCTGCAAGCTGCTGATGCTGACGCTGGCCAGGCCGGATCCCACAGAGGAGGAGGTGACCTTCAAGAAAGGCGAGCGGGTGGCGGCGGGGGCGGGGGGGTGGGAGGGCTGCGACAGGCCGCGACGGGCAGGCTGCGATGGCTAGCAGACCGCTGCTGGCAGTGTTTTGGTGCGAAGCGCACCTGCCATGCCCCCCCTGGCTCACCCATGCACTCACCCCCCCACCACCACACACACACACACCGTCCCGCCAAGCAGGTGTACGTGAGGACAACCGCGTGGCCAGCCGCCCGGGGGGACGGTACCTCAAGGGGTACCGCTTCTTCCAGGACGATGAGGACATGTACCAGCTGGAAGACATCCTGCAGGTGGGGGGCAGATACCGCGCAAGGCGTGGCCCCTGTGCAGGGCAGGGAACTGTGTGGCAGGGGGTTGGTGCAAGCAGGATAGCCCCCGTACGGTGGCGCCACTGGGCTGGGCAGGGGTGGCTGCCAGGAAGTGGCGGCAGCATGCAATGCGCGGCTGATTCATGGCGACCTGGCGCGGGCGGCGGAAGGTGTCCCAGGGCCCCCCCACACACACACACTCGCACCGGCCAGCACCCGTGCCCGCAGGCCGTGTGCTTTCTGGAGGCGGGGCGCACGTTTGTGCCCGCCAAGCCCTGGCAGCGTGATGATGAGAGCAAGTGGGTGTGCGACCCGCGCCTGCTGACCGCCGAGGTGCAGCAGTTTGTGCAGCGCTTTGGCAGCCAGGCAGGCGAGGGCGGGGGGGCTGTAGCTGCCGCGGCGGCGGCGGGTGCCTGAGGAAAGCGCAGCTTCATGCATGCTGCTTCACTCTGATCTGATTCCGTTGTATGGGCCCCAGTTCCACTAGCAGCTCTCAGCTTGCAGCTTCACATGGTCTTGCATGCTGCTCACAAAGTCGCAGTCGCATGCATGCATCAATGAAACATCGGCCGTGCCGCAGCCAGGCCATGCCAAGGCGTGGCCCTGGCATGGCCCAGGGTGTGGAAGGCGGAGCCAAAACTGTGACAAAATCAGAAGTTTGGTGTCAAGGTGGCGCAGGGTGGTGGCAGTACAGGGAAGTGAGGACAGGCGGGGCCACAGAAATACAATGGCACATATTCGTACAAGTAGGTGCCGCCGATCAGGCAAGGTTCTTGCTGTGCTGGTGGCGGGTGGCGATGCGGCGGCCATCATGCGCCGTGCTCAGCTGCGCTCAGCATGCGCCGCTGCCGGTGCCGGCGCCGGCTTGGCTGCTGCCGGTGGTGGCGCCAGCGGCGCTGCTGCCGCCTGTGCAGCTGCGGCCGCCTGTGCAGCTGCGGGCGCCGGTGCAGCGGTGCCTTGCTCCATCGCAGCAAACAGGTTGCGGCGCACCGGGTCTGAGGGGTAGATGGCGCCCCGCCACTTGATGCGCTTCCCGGGGTGCATCAGCTCGCTCTCGGGAGAGCTGCTGTAGCAGTCGGCGCGGCAGGCGCTGCAGTCGCAATATGATGATGAGGAAGGCTGGGAGCCCTCCTCGCTCGCCGCATCCTGCCACGGCGGGAGGTGGGCGGGCACGGCAGCATCCTGCGCCGCCGCCGGAGCCGCCGCATCTGCTGCTGCTGCCGGCGCGTCGTCCTGCTGTGCCTGCTCCTGCGCTGCCGGCTCCGGGGACGGCACCGGCAGGCGCAGGGTGGGCAGGAAGTCGAGGCCGGGGGGCAGCTGGTGGGGGTAGTGGTCTGGGTAGCAGGCGGAGGGGTCCAGGTGGTGGATGGACCACAGAGTGATCTCTGGCAGCAGCGTCTTGGCAAACTGCCACACCTCTGGGCGGCCCGGGAAGAGGTAGGCCTCCCAGGCAGCCTCCAACGCGTCTGGCGGCTGGTCGCCGCTGGCGGTGGCCAGGCACGCCGCAAAGGCGCGCACCGCCTCAGGCAGGTGGCCCACGGCGGCCTCCACAGCCCGCGGGTCGCGCTGCTGCTGCGCGCCTTCCTGCTGCTCACGCTCAAGCTCCGCCTCCCGCTCCGCCTGCTGCTGCTCCGCCTGCTGCTGCTGTGCTTTGGCGGGTGGCTGGGCGCCGCCGCGGGCCGCTGCCTCTGCCTTGCCGCCCACGGTTATCCTGCGCTGCCGCTTCTGCCGCTTTCGAAGGGCGGAGGACGGCGCACCTACAGGCACGGGCACGAAACGATGGTGCCTCACACCCCAGCCCCTTGACTAGCGGCGGCGGTTGGGAGGACCGGCCATGCACTGCACCGTTTGCGACCGCCTCGCCCTTTACCACCGATCCTGATCACGGTTACTCACCGTCCTGCTGCCACATGACTTGTGGGTTGTGCTCGAGTTGAGGGTTGGTTGAGGGGGGGTCTGGACAATGTAGAGCTAAAGGGCCCGCGGCTGCCTGGATCCGGTATGCAGAATGATCGATGGATGTTTGAATCCACCCGAAGCTCGAAACTCTCCGCTTCTCCTGCGCCTGTCGACCTGGCGCGCCAGCGGGGCAGAGATTCCAGAGGGGGCCTCACCAGGGCCTTGGATCGCTCGTGCCGTGTTCCGCATGCACTTCTGTCGCAAGCAAGCTGTCCCCGCTCAGTCTCCGAGCAGAACTTGGACATCTTCCGCTCTAGGAGAGTTCAGCACCCTTCCCGGCCTACGCGCTCGCCCCTGCGTGATCACACCAAGCGCTGTAAGGCGCGGCTCATAGCACAATCCGACATGTGCGCCAGTATGGTGCATGTGTTGCCCCCTGATGTGGCACCCTCCCGATTGGGCAACCCCCGCCCCCGCTCCCTCCTGGCAGCCCGCGCGGCGCTCCCCTCCCATACGTGAACTGACCCCATATAGCCCTGTTTGAGGGTTGAGCGGGGCGGAGCGGGGCTGCTTGCACACGTGATGGCATGCACGCTTCAACGCTCCCGCTGTCATCTCACCTCTCTAGCGTCAGAAATACAACTCTTACAAGCCAACCAACACGAACAGAGAGACCGAACAACAGAAATGAACAGGAAATATGAAGCCGCCACAGGCGGCAGCACCTTCCAGCGGAGACGGCAAAGCGTACAAGGCACACTTTTTCAATGGTTCTTGCAATTGCCACCCTTACCGGTTATACAGCCACAGTGCCGCCCACACCGCGCACCATTCTTCTTGCAGCTGCAGTTCCGGGTGCAGGCGCCGCGGCAGCCGCAGCGCACGGCTGCCTTGCCGCCGCCGGGCTGCGCCCCATCGCCACATTGAGAGACACCACAGG